GCTTAGACGACGGCTTTTACGAACCCCACCAAATCGCAAGACGAACTTGGCACACACTAACGCATGATCGGAGTCCAGGCATGTGCTCCAGAAGGAGCGACAGTCTTGTATGCATCCTCGCCACCGGAAACTGACCGCGATATGATCAATCTGAGTCCAAGCTTGCTTCGCAGAGGGAGGACGCCAGGTAGCGCTACGGCGATGGCTGTGCCGGAAGTTGGTGGTGGCTAGAAATAGGTTGTGATCCGCGCAAAGCTGCAGAAGACGGTCCCCATTATCTGACCTGCGACCATGTAGTCCCCACTGACCACCTAGACGATTCTCCTCTGAGCTTAGACGCCCACCTGTGCATTCAAGTCCCCAGCCAGCACTACGATATCCCTCCGACCCGCCTGTTTCAAGAGATCGCTCAGTTGGTAGTAAAACTCATCCTTCATTGCATCCGGGCTGCAATCCGTCGGTGCATAGGCAGAGACAACAAATAGACACCGCCTATCTGGCCTACTACTCTTACTTTCGTATAACCTTCCAGCCTCACAGCACATAAACGACTGTTAATGGGAATCCAGTCGAGCAGTGCAGCTTCGGCTCTAGCGCTCAGTGCGACACCAGCTACCCCGGATGCCGACGCCACAGGGTCCCCGGATAAGCGCAGGTGGTACATACTACTAGAACTTCCAGATGGAGAGGATAGTCGAAGCACTTCACTGGGATCTTGAATGCGGGTCTCCGAAATGCAGCAGACATCGATAGCGAGGCTTTCCAAAGTTCTTACCAACCCTGCCTGTTGTCCGATTTGCATCAGCGTCCGAACATTGTAGGTGGCCAGCTTGAACGCGGCACGCGGTTTCAGGATATCTGTGTTAGATGTCACATTGGGGACAACCATCTTGAGGGTTACTCACTAACATCTCAAAACGACACAGATAGGGTGGGAATCTAAACAAAGGCGAAAGGCTGTCGAAGGTTAAGAAGTCAAGGTTAGCATAGATAAAATACAGGAATCCAAGTATAAAAATAAATTAAGGTTGGAAGGACATAAGTTGCTTGAGATATCGTTATTACTTGAAATCATGTTTTTTCGAGCGTGCGGAGAGTTTCAATACTGTTTTGTTGTTTTACTTCATTTCTTGGGTGAGGGCTGAGATACTGCCCAGGCGCTCAGACCGAGGCAGGTGGTTTTCTTAAGAGACCATCCCCTGAGCCTCTGACTTGGAGTCTAATCCTCAAGGCAGCGGAGCAGCGTCAGGAGCCAGATAAAGGTTCAGGAATTGTTCTGATGAACAAATCAGACTACCGAAGTAAACTCTTGATGAAACTATTTGATGATAAGGAATTTCAAAAACAGTCTCCCCAGAAGAATCCCACCGAACAGATGGAGCTTTAGCTAACAAAGAGAGTGCAGAAAATGAAAGACGAATTAATTGTCAGTTCAAAACTATACAAACAACTTCATCCATTTGGTTCTTTAACGTCGTGCATGTACGGCTTATCTAAAGTATACAATAAGACGTCCCGCTCCTCCCAATATTAGATATGATAGATTCTCAATATTGCTCAATCTCAAAGTAGCTGGTAGAGGTTCTTGGGACGGTGAAAGAAAGGCTGTCGAGACACAGCCTCCTGGACGCATTCGATTTTGTTGGTTCAGTTAAGGACGTCAACTTATTTAAAGCCCTATGTTCCAGTGGGAATGTATAGGAATAATTTTTTTTGAATTCAGCCCAGAATAATATCTAGAAAGAACTCATTAAGACATTACAGCTATTGATGAGATTCCCACCAATGCAAAGCTAAAAGTTAAAATAAAAGTTAAGTTAATGAAAAGTTAAGTCTTTCGTACCTAAGTGCTTCAATCAGAAATGGGTGCTTAGTCTGAGTGTTACCAGGGGCATCAATGAATTACTTGTCAAAATATGACTATGATATACTAGAGTTAGTCACATGGTACTTTAGTTTTATCGCTATATAACCATTTGAATGCGTATTTATTCACAAATACTTATGATGGATTATTTAACTGTACTAACTCAGCCAATCTTGACCGGAAGTAGTCATATGCACGAATAAAACACAGATAATACGGAACATTAGACAGGTCTAGTTAGAGGAGAGGATTTCCACCTCTGCGTACAGGTTGTAAGTCACTGCCCCACACTTGGACAACACAACTCAATAATAGCTAGATGATACGCAAATAAAAGCAGAGAAGAATTACTGTTTCAAATTACAGAAGAACTAATCACAATCCTTTTTATTACGATGTAGTCAACAGGCAGCTCTCAACATTTCTAACAAACACTGACAGATAGTATCTACAACGCCGTATCAGAACGCCGATTGGGCCATAGTTCCTCACAGTGACAGGCTGTGACTACACAGTGGCTTGAACCCCCCCCCCACACTTAAACTTTCCTCTAACTTATGCTAATTAGTGAAAAATCATACCTATAAATATTATCTGCGAATAACTGAACTCAGTTACATTTGTTTTTTAGGAGAAATGTTGAGAAGTCAGTAAAAGAAAGAAGGGGTTCGAGTATAATCATGCAATTAGGGTGTGGGTTGACAATAAGCGACCCTAATTTTCGAACATTCTATTGTCTTACAGACAAATAGTGATAACGTAGAAACTAGCACTGCAATTGGTCATTCTAAGAATTTACTCTTTAATATCATTCATTGAGTGGGCATTTCAGATTTCTATATCAGAAGTGAAAAATCCAATGAGGGCATAGAATAAATTTATGCGTCTTACTACAACTGGCTTTATGCTATAAGTGTAACAGTCCGTGGATTTTTTTTCACGTCATGAGAATTCTAATTATAGGTTCGACAACCCCTTATATTTCTCGGCTTATAGTCTACAAAAACAAATAAGTACACATGAGGATCATTCGAACCTAGATGGCCAAGTTAAGGACAATGTCTGAACTAGCTTTTTTGGACACATAAATTATGCTTCTTAATGTGGATCTGAGCGGCCTTAGCAATATTTAGTAAGTGTGAGGACATTGTCCTTACTTTGGCCATCTAGGTTCAAATGATCCTCACGTTGACTAAATATTGCTGAGGCTGCTGGGATCCACATTAGGAAAGCCTAATTTATGTGTCCAAAGTAAGTTAACCTTTTACAAAGTCTGAACACCTGGCGCTGGAACCACTCCATGCCTCTAGTTCAGAAGAAAACCAATCTTATGATGGGATACAGAGATTAGTGTTGAAGTAAAGGAAAGTTATGCTTTGAAACACTTTCATAAATATTTAAAAAATATCATGAGTGCACCTTCCTTTCAATGAGAACAAATACTACTTTCAGTCTATGAAATATTCTAGTATCAAACTGTAAGTGGTTTATCGTGAGCAAAAGTGAAGTTCATCATAACACTAGTTACATTTTAGTATTAAGTGCTATTTCACATTTCTGATCCATAAGTTACATGAATCTTCTCGAACCTCAAGATCTTTTCCTGTGAAAACTGTTGATGATATTCTCACCTTTACGGCACAAGCAACAAATGTAAAACAAACTCATGCCAAGAAGTAACACATATTTTGAAACCCGATTCTTGTTCCCAAATTAATTATATTATTCAGAATATCTTCTAAAGTGTTTTTTTTTCAATGTGACTATTCATCAAACAGAAACAGAGCACTAGTGCACATCTAGTAATTTCTGTGGTTTCATTACGAAGTAACTGGAAGCTTTTAAGTGTAAAACAATAAAATGAACATGCCCAGTGAACTATTTGACATATAATATTAATGCCATATCGAATGTGAACTCTTAGAAAATATCCTTGGACTATACTAGCGGTGGATTTCACCGATGGATGTTTCTTCATGTAGACATTTATGACGTTTCTTGACACTATTCTGTAAACCTTTGGTAGCCAGATGCTTCCTTGAGGATTTATCAGTACTCCTGATAGCAATCTGCTTTCAACAACAACTTCTGGATTATGTCTGTAAAGCTTTTGCATGTTACCAGCAGCTGGTGGGCTTTTACTGGTAGTGTTTACTCCCAATGTTCTCTTGAGCGATCTTGACATGTCTAATTTTAATGGTTTCTTGATAGGCTTCTTCCTGCATACAGCAGCTTCCAATATCTCCAGAGTCTTTGCTTTCGACTAAATCTTCCTCTCCTTAGGCTTCATTAAACTTGCTTTGGATATCCCGAAATTAAGTGTTCGAAATGTTTTATATGAAAACTATTATCATCTGGAAGTGAACAACTTTTATGCCAAAGCCTAAAATACCTTTGGTATCTGGGCATAATTTTCTACATGTGCTTTTACATGCCTGGTTTTCTTACTCTCACCCCACTTAAGACCTTTTAAATTCTACTGGCTGTTGACTGTTTTTATTTAACAATGTGATTAGCGCCTCTCAGGGTCATCTAAAGCATATATACACAAGTGCTGTCAGTCGTTTTCTCTGTTGATACGAGACAGTAAAAGCTCTCCACGTCAGCAGTCAGTCTTCTCTTTGTGTCTTCTTGCGTTGCCTTTTCGATGGAATAGTACCGGGTTGCTGTTGTCGTCATTGTTGCTAATAGTGGTTGGAGCAATGTGTTCGTGAATCGACTAGATAGGAAATTCGTTAGTTCAACTACAAGTGTCTTAACGGACATATCGAAAATGGCGTCGGGTACATATCAATCTTTTACGTGTATTTAGACCATTTCATTCATCCTTCAGATGGAATTCTGAAACTGTATTTCACAACATTACTAAAAGTTTGGTAGGAGATAATTTTTCAACCCAATATGTGGTGATGTCCAGCTAGTTTCGAAAGCTAACGTCTAACTTGATCAGGACTGCCTCAGTCTGTTTCTCTACAGTCGCATATGGAATGTAATATGTCATGCAAACATCTTAAATTTTCGTTAACATCCACTTATCATTCTAATTTAATTTTGCTTTCCAATTAAAAATGTCTGTGGTGTTTACAAAACAATAAATCTATCCTCAAAGTTATCTCTGTTTAAAACATTTTAGTTGATTGATGTTAAAATAAAATGTAAAGTTTTGGATGATGAGATTGAGCAGTATCGCTCTAAAAATGATAAACTCAAAACACACTTATCAATGGTGAAACAAGAACAATCAATAACAGAATCACTTTTAGCACAACGTCAAAAAGAAATTGATGCAAAAAAACATGAAATTTGTTTAATTGAAAGAGAAACTGGTCAGCTAAAATTGTTTCTGTCTAATATTGCAAAGCAAAGGAAAGAGATCGCTAATAGAACTGACCACTTCGAGGTATGTGATTTCGTACTGTTTAGGTAAAGTGTCAAAAATTATTTGTTTATTTACAGGATTTTATCATGAACTGGCATCGGTTACAGAACCACTGCAAAAACCATCAGGAGGCACTGGACAGCTGTTTCGTCCTAGTTTATGACTCCCCATCAGTAAGCCCCCACCAACGGGGTTCTAACCCAGGACCTTCAAGTTACAAAGCCAGGTCGTAGACTATGTAGCCACTGTGACCTGACCCAGTGGCCCATGAATTCCAACTTCTGCCAATTCACTCTACCGCCCAATCACAAGCCAATGTCCTGCAAACCAACACTTGAATATCAATCTGATGTTGACTATCAACCGGTCCCATTCAGGTAGGTACTTACCTGGGTTATAGAGGGAATTCGTGACCAGTAGGGTACAGTGGGTCGGGTGTGAGGACAAATACTCACCGATGACATTGGCTAGTGGTCACTTTACATCGTGATTTGGAGAAAGTTGGAAATCATGGACTGGCCATTTGATCGGGTCCGATTGGTTAAATGGTTCACGAGCTCGCCTTGTAGCCAGAAGGCCCTAGGCTCAAACCCCGGTGGTGGATGCGTACTGAAGAGGAGTCCCAAACTAGGATGAAGCACCTGTCCAGTACTTCCTGGTTTTCCAATGGTTCTCTAACCGACTTCGGCTCATGATGAAATCTTTTAACTAATCAAATCCCTGCAAACCAACATTTGAATGGTTGCTTACTGTATGGCTACCTTGGGTCTCTCAAGAGAGAGAGATTACCTGGTCACTGATCTAAATTACGCAACATTACGGTGCGCTGTCTTGTTGTGAAGTTGACAGATACGCTAAGCTGGGTATTCTAAAGGACAATTACTATTGCTCCCGGAACTTCTTTGGGACGAAATCTGAGCTACAGCTTCAGAAGTGACATACACATGATTTTGTCCAAAGTACTGTTAGACGATTCAGAGTCTTGTCTCAACGAAAATTTAAATCGTTCTGAAAGTCTTGATGTTTGATGACTATGAATATTAATAAGCTTAATGTCATCTTTGAAAGTAAGCTTCATCAGTTTGTCAAAATACAATAATTGTAAGCATAATATCAAATTACTCGAATACGGACTAAATAACTGTTAAAGTAAAAGTTAAAGTAAAACTTCATGGATTTATCTTTTTCCCAGAACTCCTGTCCCGTACTGGTAAAACCAGGAACTTATTAACGTACGTAATGATAAATAAGTTCATAAAATTAACATAGTGCAGCTGCACAGACATTTGACATCGAACTCTGATTACCGTTTTAATTCCTTCAGTCAAGCCAATCTTCCATTTGGAATACTATTGTGTTGCGTCCGTTTGTACATGCATGGCCTTCAGTTATCTAAGCGTTCAGCTAGTTTAAATAACATCAAAAAAATACATTGCATTTCGCACGATCAAACTGTTGTTCTTACATTATCCTGCCAACTACTTTTGGTCTGACATTAAATTACACCATCTAGACTGGAGGATAACATAAGCGTACTACAGCCATTACAGTATCGTTCTGCCTCACCAAACAGACTCCAGTCATAGAGGTTAAGAATTTCAGTTGAAACCTAGGATACACTGACACCATTTAACGGAAATGAAGTTAGCATTAATGTCTCTTTCAGTATAAGTCAATAACAAAATCCAAGGGATGCACTAGGAAGCTAAAAATTGGACGGAAATGAAAATTTTCATAATACTCTCCAGGATTGTTTGCACCACCTAAAGCCTACAGAGACATTGACATAGGATTTCGTCCCTCGGAATTATTGAAGATGAAACTTCAAGATTAAAGGTCACGGTTTTATTCAGGGACAAATACAATATGATTCGACTAAAACACCTTGGTTTTACTATCTATGTACACAATAGATTTCAGAATCTACACGTTACAATTATCGGCAGTACGCACCCATTGGGATTCGAACCCAGGACCTTCCGGTTACAAGGCAAGCTAGTATACCATTCAGCCGCTGGGACCCGATTCAATGTCTTGTAAATGGAAGGTCCTGGGTTCGAATCCCAGTGGGTGCGTACTGCCGATGATTCCCAAACTAGGATGAAACTTAACAATTAGCTTACTTACAAAATGAAAAAATGAGTAACTGAAACGAAACTATAATTAACTTCAGAAGTAACGAATTCTCACTAATCCATCATTAGGCCATCTCAAGAACACAAAACAAAGAATGAAAACAGTGTAAAGAAATCATGCAAAATAAAGTTAATGGAAAGTTGAATGACGAGGGGTAAAGCTTTAGTTATTCAAGGTTCATTCCAAATCACTTTCTGTCTTTAGATAAGTGTTTCGAAGTAGAAAGAAAAACAAACAAGCTATTTCGAACGTAATTCATGTCTGACATTATTTAGATCCACCATGAACAGTATATCCACTGACAGCTAGAGAAATCGTAGTACACTAGAAGATATTCAGACAACACCTATGTCTCTAAATTTTCTAATTCACGTTTGACAATGGTAAATCCTTTTTTTAACCCTTGGTAAGAAAGAAGATATTTAGTAATTTAAAAGCTATTAAAATGACATTTCAGGATTTCATTATGAGCTGACATAGTGAAATCCTGAAACCAATCAAATCCCTACAAACCAACACTTGAAAATGACATTTGTTAAATATGTTCAGACTGTCTAAGCTAGCACTTCAATACGGTCTTATTTAACAAGAAACCATTTCGACTTACTGTTGATAGAAACTGCCAGTAGTAATTGGGACTCTTTGATTGACTGAGCTTGGTTTCCATCTAAAGATGGTGACTAATAACCAGTGCTCGTTGTTTCAACTGCTGATACACGGCAGATTAGACTTATCTAGAACGATATTATTAGTCTTTGTTCGTATATGGGGTCATTTCTTAACCATCTTTAACTGAAAGACAACTACTATTGCAACTATCTGAGGGATAAACAGCTCGCTTTGAATTTAGCACCGCTGTATACCGAGTTGTTACACCAGTTACGGTCAGTTTGCTCATGCTGACTATTAAGTTTGACAACTGCCAGAAGACTAGCATATGGATATTTATAAAATTGGTCAACATTAATGCACGGTTGGAGTTTAAACAAACTTTTTTTTATCGGAAAGACACATGACAATTGTAATTTATTTGACTTCAAACAGTCGGAGTATGCAATGATGAAAGTACTGAAGTAGGCGTTAATAAAAAGTAAACTTGCAATGATATAAAAGTATTAAGTCCTTTTCGAAGTATACGTATTCACTCAGAACAATCATTTTCCTAGCTGGCATGTTGTTAGTAGCTTCAGCAGGTTGATGAAAGTACTCATTGTTAACTCGGCCTATTGAAATAAGTTACGGATCGTTTTATATATATATATATATATATATATATATATATATATATATTCATTAATGCTTTTATTATTAAAGATTTATCTATCTTTATTCCCATACTGTTCAACTACATTTATAGAATTTAATTTTTGCAAAGAATAATGAATTGAACACGATTAAGTCAAAAATGCTTATTGATGATCAGTTAATTGAAAGTTATTTAAGTGAATGTGAAAATAATGTAAAAGTTCGTGAAAGGCTTCAATATATTCAAAAGAAAGATGACTCTAAATTAGCTGTAAGTTGAATGATATTGTTTAAAATAAAATAGTCAATAGCTATTTTTTTTCATAAAAGATAGGAATATTTTCTCATGTGGTTGTGTTCTGTGAGCTGGGTGATTTAATAGTGAAGCTTTTATTGTGTTGCTTTCATTATGTTGCGGCTAAATACTTCATCTATTCATCCATTCGCGTCGGTGGCATAGCGGTAGAATGCCCGCCAACCCAGAAGGTGATTCACGGTTCGATCCCCGGCCAACTCACTCCTTTACCTAGCTTAGCTAGTAATAAGACTTGGAAAGAGGAAAGATTGGCAATGGGGCTAGTAACGCCATCCCATAAAAATAAACACCACTGCTACTGAAACTTCAAGCCTCTAGCTTGATGCCCTATGCTCAAAAGCTGGATATATACATTTTTGGATTTTTATGAAATTATTCTAGTGTACTTGGCCTTTTTGTTGAAACGCCATGATACACACCGGACAAAACAGGTGGCGGCACTTGAAAAAAACCGACATGCCACACAATACCCCGATAACAACCATTCTAGCTGTGCATTTTACATAAAACTATTGACAATAGTTACTGACAACAAAATACACGACTAGCATTTTAGAACAAGTTGTGTTGGTTGAATTTTATGCTAATTTAATCATTGAAAAGTCTTGTTACAGATCTCTAGATAAATCGTTAATGCGCGGTCTTATCCAAGAATAGATTTGAACCATGCACAGATAACATTTTATATTTTAAATACAACATTCAAATCTATCTGAAGTTTTATTTAGTCCAGTCAGTGAACACAATGAAAAATAAATGAGCCAAACATCAGTGGCATCAAAACAAAAGTTTTTAATAGTTAAACTAGTAAAGTGCGGCAATTCTGGCTTAGATATTTAGAAATTATGGGATTTTGTAAGGATATGGATTAATTTTAATGTAAATTTCGTCACGAATCAACATAAGCTAGAGGGATTATTTAATACCGGGTAGTGTTGAACAGCTATCATTGAAACTAATCCAAATCTATACAAAAACCCATAATCAAAATATCAATCTTCCGCTCATTAATGGTCACTTGATAGATGTCTGAAACTGTCCTGAAAAGTCGTGGCCAATAGGGTACACCACGCCAAGGTGAAGTGGATGTTCATCGAAGGAATAAGCTGAGGGTAGCCCTATATCATCAGCTGATAGAAGTAAGTTGAATGGTCAACAAGCTTGGCGTCGTAACGTGAAGGTTCAAGATTCGATCCCTGGTGGAGTCATCGGAATGCTTTGCTGAAGAGTCTTGAAGTTGGACGAAACCCCTGTTCAGTGCTCCTTGGTTTCCAGTGATCTCTAACTGATACTCTTTAGGGGAGAAATTTACATTGAAACTGGTTTAGATGATTATGAAAAGTGAATTTATTAGAAATACTAATGAATCAAGAAAGGTAAGTGAATATGCGAATTTCTCGGGTCAAATGTAATTAGATGAGAAAGTGGACTAGTGAGAAAAATGAAATACTGGCATGTGATAAAATGAAACAAACTACAACAACACAGTAAGGAAAACATAAAGTTTTGTGATTCATATGGTGAAATTAAATCCAAGTTAACGAAAGGGATTGTACAAATTGTTTAAGTACGCAAACTTTAGGCTTTATAATATTAAATACTGCCAAGGATTCTGCTACGTAAAGCAAGTGCAGTTGCTCATCTTTTGGCAAATTTGTTACATCAAAGGCTGTGTAATCATCTACTGTATATTGTAATATGCACGAATTATTGTCACTTATGTTCTCCTTTGCTCAGTCATTCTGGTAGGTGCACTTGAACACAATAGGTTTTCAACCCTGTTTTCCATCTCATATGACCAACAGCTAGTTAAAACTTATTGATTGACTGTCTTTAATAAAAGGAAGTTTCATCATATCTATCCACCTGAAAACAGTCAGTTTTCCTTTTATGAAAACAAAACACGTAGTTCAGCGAAGTGTCTCTTTTCGGAGAATTCATTTTCTTAGCTGTACAATCGCAAATATTTATGATTTATTTTGTTGCATGTGTACATTAATAATAATAATAATTTTTCCTTCACGTTCCCAGTGGAACATAGGGCTCCAAGCTAGTGGCTTGAAGTTTCTGTAGCAGTGTTTAATTTTTACAGGATGGGGTTGCCAGCCTCATGCCCAACCTTTCCTCTTTACCAGCATTATTTCTGGCTCAGTGAGGTAAAGGAGTGCGCCGGCCGGGGATCGAACCCCGAACCATATGCATGGTTGGCGAGCGTCCTAACCGCTATACCACCGACGCACATGTGTACATTAAGTCTGTCAAATAAAATAACAATTGGTTATGGTTATTTTAAGTAAACAGGTGAAAATGAGTAAGTTTTGGGTAGAGTTGCGTAATACAAAAACGGTCAAGAAAATTGGGTGTTTATGAAATTAGTGTAGTAACAAATGTAATGAGTTGTCACAAACAGCTGTCAAAAAGGGGTTATGTAATAATATGAATAGTTTTATGGTTGAGTCGTACTCAGGATACACATAGGAACAAAGTAGAGAATACGAAGTTACGTAAGAGTTCTAAATGAATACCAGAACTATAAGCAATTAAAGAAACAGGCAAATGAACAAAATTAAGTCATCAAAAATCAACAAAATTGTTACCATGATAGAAGAAGTGGTTGAGCAATTCTTTTTTGTATGCACAGCTCCGGTTTTTCTATGTGAATGGCCAGAGTTTCAGCGATACAAAGAAGACGAAACCGTATTGCCTTTGGTAGGTTATTCTTGACTCTGTAAATTACTTTGAAGCATGAGGCGTTTGTTGAGATGGAATGATCGCTGTTGACCAGGTGTTCAATTATCGCACTCCTTACAGCGCCTCTATTGCCTTTTCGCAATCATGCTGGATAGTGTTCCTGAATCCTCTTGGAGAGAATGCGTGTCGAACGGCCAATGTAAGTGGCTCCATAGCAGCACGTGAATTGATATATGCACACAGAAGTGGTCAGATGAGGGATATTGTCCTTAAGGCTTCTGCAGATCAGTGGGCGACTGAAGTACAATATTCTTGGCGTTGTTGCAAAGAATCTTCTTCTCAGAGATGATATGATCTTTCTATTGAGAATATTCCTTGCTGAATCTCCTTTGAAATCCAAGTTCATGTCGATTTTCTTTTTCCACGTGAGTGAAGCTTCTTGGTTTGATACTTTTATCAATCAGTATAGGTGGGTATCCATTTTGGAAACAAATTTCCCACAAAAGATCTAATTCTTGTTCTAGAACATCGGGAATACAGACGCATTGGATGCGGGTGGTAAGGGATTTAATTCAATTCCGCTTTTGTTTAATGAGTACCCAGCTAAAAAAGCTTGTTAGTTGACTATTCCAAGTAGGGTACAGCAGGTTGAAGATGAGGCAGTAACTCATCGAAGAAGACATTGCAAAATGGTCGCACTATGTCGTGAATTGGCAGAAGTTAGAATTCAAGGACTATTGGATTGGGTCCTAGTGGCTAGTGAATGGTCTACGAGCTCGCTAGCCTTATAACCAGAAGGTCCTGGGTTCGGACGGTAGTAGAAGTTGTGTACTGCTGAGGAATCCCAAACTAGGACGAAACAGCTGCCCAGTACTCCTTGCAGGTTTTCCAGTGGTTCTCTGACTGATCTCAGCTCATGATGAAATCCTCCATTCAATATTACAAGTGGCTTTTCTATGGATCGGTCTTCTTAAGGTCCCATCAGTTCTTCTTGCTAGTTTCAAGAATGACATCATAAAAAACGAGAATTTAATCGCATTTCAAGTTACTTTTAATTTCCTATTCCTCTTCCTTTGCCTTCTTTTTTCCTGATGCTACTACTACCACTACTACGACTGACTCTTTAATAAGTTGTAAAGAAATAAATAAGAAAATTAATGTCTTATCTTTACCTTTCTATACATTTCAGGCATTGAACAGTGAAGCAAATAAACTCAGTTCTAAATGTTGTGAAGCACAAAAGAAGTTAGATGTAGCTGTGATGAAAACCAATTTAATCAATCATAAAGTTGATGCCGCCTCTGAGAGATGTCGAGAAGAAAATGAAGCTAGACGAGAATTATTAAGAATTTGGGAATCATGTGTTAAACAAATGGCTAAACGTGATGAAGATTTTGTAGAGCTTAATAAGGTTTTCTAGTCATTGTTTTAATATGGTCACGTTTTTCAAAATACACCCTTTTTTCGTTTCAGTGCTAAATAAGGTATAATTATTATGAAGATATAATATCTAGGAATATATATATGTTGACATGTTTTAGGCATGCGTAGCCACCCGCTTCCTCGAAGAGCGATCTTGGCTAAAGCTGAACTACGTTACCAAAAATTAGGCGTGCGCAGATCAAAACATGGCTTTAAACAATGAAGTCAGTGACTGTTAGTTTGAGCTACGTAGGGAGGTTTATAATGCGTGGTTTGTGTCTTTGAGATGTTAAGAATCGATGATTGACTACTCTTGTTGTCATAGTTCAAGAGTGTTTGTAGTTGTGTACATTTTTCTCACTTCCTATTTTCTATCCATACTTGAAAAGTCCTCAATAGTATTCTTCTTTCTATGGTACAATTTTGTTCACTAGAGTTCCACTAAACTTCTTTTCTCCGAAGCATGGTAACATAAACTTAACTGACATCATTATCTTCGTCAGAATGATGTGTATCCACTTAACATTAAGTGAATTTAAAAGTTAATGATTAATGTTAATACCCTCTGATCACAGTTTGCAGTGTTAAGCCTAATGATGAAGCTGTAGTTACTGAGCTTAATGACTTTTTGTTTTATTGTTACTGTACTCAAATAATAATAATAATAAAGATTTGTACCTCAGAAAAAGGATGAAGTTTGTCTAGTATTTTGTAATCTTAAAGATTTAGATCTTGACAGAAACGACAACCTCATCAGAATAAATGTCGAACTCCTACGTCTTATACAATCATGTGTATAACACTTTTTTCTGTTAGATTTCCATGGGAAAACCAAATCGTAGTAAGTAAAATATTGACAAACTGCATAATAACTGAGAACCACGTAAGTAAATAAAATACAACTCTGATTATGTCTGGAAGCCTGACGTCCTTTGAGCTCTGGGTCCCACTCGAACACCTGGTGCGTGATGTCACTCTACTGTCTTTTCAGTGTATGTTCAATAAGGCTCTTTTTATTTTGCATATTTGACGGGTTCTTGTTTGGTTCGTTGCCATGGTTCGTTGTTTCTTATCCTTCCCAATAGGCCATACGATCTTCAGTATCAAGCAGTCGAAGGCGGCTGTTAATGAAAAAATATACAGAGGCTTAATAGAAATGCTTCTGATGATGCATGTATCAAGTTGCTGAACCATAGACAAGCACTGACTTGACATTAGTACTTTGTTCTTTATGTTAGATGCAGTAGATTTCCGCATAATTTTCAGATCATTGAACGTCTGTGTTGCTTTTCTAACCTTGACTGGCCCTGACATCCTCATCCGCACGGAACAATGCTGCTTAAATAAGTGAAAGAGGTGACCTCCTCCAGATATCTCATGTTGATAATAATTGGTGCTTCTTGTTGTTGGCTGGATATCTTTATCATCTCTGTTTTCTTATGTTCACTTGAAGTCCTGTCTTCACTATCTCTTCTGCTAACTTCTTGTTGTTTTTCGCCTGTAGATCCTAGAGCTGTAGTGACATTAGAATTAAATTATGTGCAAAATCCAGATCTTCTGGAGTATTTTGTCGGTGCAACATATGCTTATCTACTTTTTCCCCCCGATCTGTCACACAATCCAGTCCAACACAATCCGGAATATCATCGGTGACAGTAGACGCCGTCTGCTTAAAAATAAACCATACTTGAAAATACTATGTAATAACTTTAAATTAAATTTTATTATAGCCTGATTCCACACAGTATTTTGGTACAAGTATGGAATTTCCAGCATGTGATATCGGTAGCCCGAATGTAGTAGGCCAAACATTTGATATCAGGTGTGCGTCGGCCGCGGATCGAACCCCAGATCGTGTGTATGGTCGGCGAAAGCCCTAACCACTGGGCTACCGATGCACAGTGGTTAGGGCTTAAATGACTTAAAACTGATGCATTATGTATGACGTAAGAAATGATAGCCCCGAGTGATTTAAAAACTAGAAATTCCATAATTCACTACCAAAGCACGGATAAGAAACACTTTTCATTATGATTTTGAGCAACTTAATCGATATTATCTGGAACTCGAAGCATTAAACACTGAATGACAGAATACAGTATTCAGTTGCAATTAAAGAAGAAAGAAAACCGCTGTTTATCACACTAAGGATAGTATTGTTTGCGGGAAGAAGTATGTTAGATATCACATTTTGACTTCATTCAGTATACACGCCTAATGAAGCATGAGGTACAACTTACTGGATAGTTGGGTGATACCAGGAGTCTTTTAAACGACAGGATCTATTCGAAACTAATAATTTATTGTGTACACTATACAAAAACGGTGAGAAAGCATAAGGAAGTGGTAAGCGAAAATTTCTCCATGTAATCAAACCGCTCAAAGGACATAAAACTCTTAAAAGCTACAAAATTCTATTTAAGTCTTTCTATGAACTGTTTACCGTCAATTTAATATTTATACAATAAATTATATTCTTCAGTCCGCTGATGATACGTAAAGTTAAGGCAAGTGTCTGTAAAATTTACACTTAAAGTTGAGACCAAAGCAATGCATCTGGCATTTGTTATAACAGAATTCCTATTTTAAACTTGGCTTATCCATATTCTAAGTAAGACAAATGTTTAAAAATACTTTTTTTGTATTTCCGTATAAGCTCAACGCCAATAAATATTAAGAAGGCATATTCAGCAACTCACTCATTACGCTAACTACTTAATTTGTATGACCTCTGAATAGTTTGACTTCATCGCATTTTCTCTTTCTTGATGATATATAACAGGATTAGATGGTTGGAGGTGATCAGCAAGAATCCTTGGACCTAGGTTTCGTGTTAGTTGGCACTCACTAGTCAGCAAGGCGTATCTGTATCCTTGAAGGAACTCATACCCCTGTGAAATTCAAACTCGTGTCAACCAATGGTACAGTCAGAGACGTTGCAACTGAACTATTTAACCTTGCGAGCCAACTAGTACGAAACCTAGATGCAAGGCATCCTACCGATTGCTTCCAGCCATCTAATACTAACAATTCACAGTGCACGGTGATGACGAGCCACCCAGTATGATGGCCACACTATAAACTTGACTGTTCGAATTCAGTCTGCACCAAAGATAGGACCAGACACATTATACTAATTACTAACTAGTGTCCAATCGAAAGATGTATAACAATATTAAGTGTTAGATATTTACGAAGAAATAAGTTCTCATGCATTATTTCAGGTATTTCAGCATACATCACTGCCATATAATACAATGGATGTACCAAAAGCTGTCATATGAGATGTAGTATAATAAAACTTTTCATGGTTCACTAATTCATACTACTTAAGTTAATTGGTCATGAACCCTAAATGTGTTTTATAGAACTGCTTATATTGGTAAAACCTTAGAAACAAGCATTTAAGCTCTTGCCACAATAATATCTCATTCTAATATTTTAAATAAACAACAATAATGACGCGTACTGTCACTGTAATTCGTAAACATAACCATCATATTCTTCTGTTGTCTTCACTATATATACAATTACTCTTTCATCTTATCAAATTCACATTCTCACACTAAACAAAAATTTCATTTCTATGGTGCATTGATATATTTAATACATAATAGCCCCCAGTTAAAACAACTTCAAAACATGATAGTCAGCTTTGCTTACTTCTCTTTGGCGTCATTGTTTATGATATAGACTTGTTGATTGTATACACTGTCACATGCTTAAGCAAACATCAGCAGATAGCATTATTATGATTTCATGTGATCGATTTTGTTTTTCTATCTTAAATTTACTGAAGAAGACTATTGGTTTTATTGATTTATACATTTCAAAATCACAAGTAAACATAATAAGATTAAATTACAATCACATTTAAGTTATTGCAATCAGAGTGAAGTTTGCAATAGGGAATGATACCTACGGTCCCCGAGAAGCCAATTACATGGAATTAGTATTCATCTATGGAACCGTTTGCTCTCAGCAGTTTCCATGTGTTTTCAAGCTACTTAACAGAATGATATCAGTTGAAGGATCACTGAAAACCATCAAGCACTAGACAGCTGTTCCGTCCCAGTTTGGGACTCTTCATTAGCACACACTCATGACCTCACCAACTAGAGATAGGATCCAATTAACCGCGAGCCCACACACACTGAGAAAATGTAAAACACCTGCGGACGTAACAAACAGTTTTCTATGATGAAATTAACCAGCCCTTAAGAAATTGAATACACGACAGTCAAGTCTTTTAGCGAGGATGCATTTAATTAGTTCTTAAATCCTAGTCGGAATAAATCCTCAATTAAAAACGTATTGGTTGAAGCACAGTTTGTGATCTGTTTTTCTGATTGTCATCAGTTTTTTTAGGTAAACTAGTTGACAAAGCATAGATTGGTGATCATCTACGTTGACATGCAAAAACAAGAGGAAGCCGCTAAAAAATGAAAATAAAACCTTAGATTACAGGTTCGATTACCAGCTGACATTATTTAAAGAAACATTGGAAAAGTAGGTAGTACCAGGTATCTGTTTTGTCCTACTTTGTTACTCTTTGTCAGTAAGCACGCACAGAGATAGGAAATCAAGATATCACAGTTCACAGTGGTTGAATGGCATTCGAACTCACCTTGTAACCGGAAAACCCTGGGTCTGAGCCCCGGTGGCCACACAGTGCTAAAGAGTCCCAGACTAGGATGAATCAGCTGTCCAGTACTTCCCGGCTTCCTAGCGGTTCTCTAAATGATGTCATTTCATGTTCAAACTTGTACCCAATTAAGTCCCTCCGAACCAACACTCGAAAAAATCTCAAATTAAAGTTTGTATTCATAGGCATGCTACTCAAATGACTGTGGTGTAGTGGTTTCTATATTTTTAGCACCTATACAATACACCCTACTCCTTTTTACATTATGCTTTCGTAAAGGAATACAGAAGAAAAGAATACGAGGTAAAGTTAAACTTTAGGCATCACTAACTACCTATCAGCGAATGACCTCGAACGCCTCAATCACCTGAGGAAGGCATTTCTGTGTATGGAATACATATATTTATGAAAAAATGCATAAAAACTGTATAAAGTATTGCAGAGGATACCTTCCTCTGAAATGTGATAAAAGTAGCTCCCAGTTTTAAGTTGGAGTATCAACAGAGTACATTTCCATTTTGGGTAAAATTTATTTTGATAAAGTCTTACAGTGTTATACAGTAATATTTTCTGAGCAATAAATTGTGCTCAAAACGTGGTCAACAGTAAATATTACTGTATAACACTGTAAGACTTTATCAAAATAAATTTTACACACAATGGAATTATACTTTACCACAGTGCACAAGTTCTGTTCTTATATCAACAGGGTAACTTAACCACATTCTATGCATGTAATTATTTAGGTCTTCTAACCCTAATCTTTCCTGAACCTAACCCTAACGTGAAAATATCCCTAAACTTACTGTAATTGAACTCAAACCAACCCTAATGTCGCCCTTATTAGGTTAACCTAACCCTAACTTGTCCTTGGCTAATACCGTAACTTAATCTTTTCCAAATCTAAACTGAAACTTGCCAGATATCCCATTTAATAGCATAACACTTCGATGAGCATATTTTACTGAGGGTAACAACATTATTTGCCAGGTTTCACCAACTTGTTCAGTGAGCGTTTCAAGGTCATTGGTGCGGTCGCACTCCATTGGTAGTGGTAGTTAGTGGTGCTTGAAGTTTAACTTGATTGAATATGGAACAGAAATAACTGTGATACATTCAAAAATGCGTTTTTTTTCACTTTTGTATATTTTTTATCCTTGTCATATTATTATTAATTTTATTATCTTTTTCTATTTCAAGCAATATAATGAAATGCTGACAAATGTAGGTCAAAGTAAAGCAAAAGTTGAGGAATTGAAAAAAATGCTCCATAATGTTATTGATGATATTAAATCTGTTGAATTAGCCAGTGAAGAAACAAATAAAGAAATTACATCTACAAGAGAACAATTATTAAAAACAGTTGATAATACAAGTTTATTAGAGAGTGATGTAAGCGTAATGTTTGTTTTAAAACAACTAAGTGTAGTTTTGATGCTATTACCTTTTAAATATCGAAAATCGAAAAATCTGAGATATGCTATCATAATTAATATTTTTCTTTAAGTTGACTCAGACTGTATTCTGAAAATGGAGAGTAATAATGTTTGGTGTTCCCATACAACGAAACGATGTATACCTTATCTTCAACGCAACATTTGCACAGATCTTCGTGTTTTAGTAATTCTGGCCTTCATGTTGTATTCCTTTGTGTTCCTTCCACGTCTCCCAAGTATCTCCGCATTTCTGTATCATTTGCTTTCTCTGACATCAAATCTATCTCCCTGTTATTTGATGTTTTATACATATATACTACTGATAAATCTTATCAGTAGCACATGCCCCAATAACACATCCTAGAATGATTATTGCATGCAATCCTTTCAAGATTATTATAAACTTCATACTTGACACCTATTTAAGCTAATTTTTTGCCCCTGTTGGTTTATTATGTGGGACCGAAATTTTCGGTCTCTGTTAACATGTCAGCTCTTAGTGTGGATGCTTCGATGATGTCCAAGGTGGCTTTTTAAACCTACCGTTAACAGTATTTCATAGATGAGATTGCTTGTAGCTCTAAATTTCGAACATGATCAGTGATTATAAACTAGTTTGATCAACATAAGCTTTTTTCTTCCAGCTTAATTCTGCTTTACTTAGCATCGTTCACTGAATCAAATAATGACTTGTCTTGTTCAACACATATCCCTACCTCCTAAATAGAAGTTTCATAACCTCACTGACCGACTCCACTTAATTCCATATTTCTAATTCAAAACTTACTGATTTAGCAGTTCTGTCAAACATACAGAAAATACCTTGAAGAAATCTAAAACTCATCTAGTTCTTACTGCTTCAGATGAAAATCATAAGTTAAAGGAAAACAGAAACTCAAGAAGAACCCTGGCAAGCTGTCTCTGACAACTACTTGGCTGAGTTTAACAGAATGCTTAAATGAATGGACCGATTAGCGCATTCATTATTTGAAATTTCATTGTTTATGAATGTTTGTCTTTTAATTGTATTATTTTCTTCTCCCACCCCTTATTAAATCTTTACCCCTGATTACCAATGTTGTTAACTTGACTCTCGTTCAAATTTTAATTGAATTCTACTCATCTCCGTCAATTATATTACATCACTCAACCTACGTATTTAATTTTAATTTACTTTCTATCTGACTAACGCTTTCTAAATTAGTTACAGGATTTTATCATGAGCTGACATCGGTTAGAGAACCATTGGAAAACCAACAGGGAGTACTGGACAGCTGTTTCGTCTACCTAGTTTGGGACTCTTCAACACCGCGCACCCATCAACAGGGTTAGAACCCAGGACCTTCTAGTTACAAGGCTAGCGAGCTCGTAGACAAATCACTAGCCACTGGGACCCGATCCAATGGCCAGCTCATGAATTCCAACTTCTCCCAATTCACGATATAGCACGACCACTAGTCAATATCTTCGGCGAGTATGTCCTCACACCCGACCTGCTGCACCCCACTAGTCACAACTTCTCACTAGAACCCCAGGTCTGCCTGAAAAGGGCAAGTCACTAGTGAGCATCTCTAAATTACCTTATTTGTCATCTAAAATTTACAATCCAAATGACACTTCTTCGGTAATATCTCTTTTGTTGCTAAGATAATTTACTATATAAATGCGATTGGGCAGCTTGAGAATGATATTGCCTGAAAGAGCAACTCTTCGCTGAACGCCTTTTCTTTTATATGACTGAATGGGGATTTTCAAGTTGCTTATGAATGTGCATAAGGGGTAAGGAAAGGGTTAAACTGTTAAAAAAAGCCAGTAATATATCAAGGAAATAAGACAGTGTTGCCAAAATGACTCACAAAACAACCAACCCTTAAAATAAGTATGTGATTGATTGAAATAACTATACCGTCTAACTGTAAAATATCAGTAAAACGGTATATCACCAGCATAAATGTGAAAAGTACTCACTCTACACTGTTATTTCTGTTTCTGCATTCACGATATATGTGTTGTGATAAATGACAAAGCTATATATCATTAAAATAAGTCCGCTACTGCACCATCTTGTACACGCTTCGGCGGTACATACACTAAAATCGGATCAATTCAGAGAAGATTAGCATGGCCTCTGTGCAAGGATGACACGCAAAATCATGAAGCGCTCTATAATTTTAGTGCATCGGCAGGTGGCACAGCGGCAGAATGGTTGCCAACTACCCATGTGGTCCGGGGTCTGATCTCCGGACGACTCACTCCTTTACCTCACTAAGCCAGTGATAAGACTGGGAAAGACGGAAGATTGGGCATGAAGCTAGCGACCCCATCCGTAAAAAAATAAACACCACTGCTACAGAAACTTCAAAGCTGTAGCTTGGAGTCATATGTTCCCCTAGGAACATTAAGGAATAAAAAAAGGGCACCACAGCAAAAGATTTATTGAGTTTACTATCCAATTAATCGAGATCTATCCATGAAATATGCAATATAGACAGCAATATGAGGGATTCAAACCATGATGAAAAGTTTCCGGTTTAATGATAGTAGTTACATCGTGGTAGTTCATTCCTTCCCGATGTATATAGATCACTAAGTATACAGATACATTCAGGTGTGAATATTTGTATTGGCTCCATCTTTACCTTTATCTTTGTAATGCAAGTTCAAATACTAAAATGCTCAGTCGTTTAATGATTAGTGAAACACTTTACTGATAGTAACAAAGTTACAAGAATTCAAAAGTCTAGTGTCTTCTGCAAACCTAAACTCTAAACTCTAACGTGAAATATAATTCACTTTTATTTACAAATTATTGTAATATTATCTTATTTAAATCTAATCTAAATAATTCTTGTTGTTTAAACATTTTAGCTCGAAACTCTACAAAAAACACTTGAAAGAACTGAACGAGATTATCGTATAAAGTTAGCGGAAACTAAACAATTAAAAATATCAACTGAAGAAAACAACAAACGGTAATATTTTCCTGCTATCGTGAAATTGACCTTGGTTAAATATGTATTTTAAGTGTAAAGTGTGAAAATATTTGTTTGGTTACAGGATCTCATCCTGAACTGACATCGGTCAGAGAACCACTGAAAAACCTACAGGGGGTACTGGGCAGCTGTTTCGTCCCAGTATGAAACTCTTTAGTCGTACGTACTCATGACCTTCAAGTTACAAGGCAAGTTCGTAGACCATTCAATCAATCGGACCCAATCCAATGGCGACCCCATGAATTCCAGCTTCTGCCAATTCACGATATAGTGAGACTACTATGCAGTGTCATCGGTTAGTATTTGGCCTCACACCCGACCTAATGTACCCTACTGGTCACTACTTCCCACTAGAACCCCAAGGCCATTGGGTGGGGTGCCAGTGGTTGAATGATCTACGAACTCGCCTTGTAACCTGAAGGTCATGGGTTAGTACCCCATTAGTGGGTGTTTACTACCGAAGAGTCCCAAAATAGGATGAAACAACTGTCCAGTACTCCCTAGTGGTTTTCCAGTGGTTCTCTAACCAATGTCAGCTCAGGATGAGATCCTGCAACCAAACAATCAAAACCATACCAACCAATACTTGAAAATATTTGTTTGTTCCACAGAAAAACGAAACAGTATAGTTTAGTTTTATGCCCCACCATGTCTTTAAAGTACTTTGGCAATAATAACTGGAATGTGACAGCATAATCTGAATTCAGTTGATTATTGTAAAACTCTTCCCCAACTACACAGAAATAGAAACAATTTAACTATCTAAACTGAGTAAAAAAAAAACGTTTGATTCTTAATCAATATAACAAAAAATTATTACTGACCTCAATTCCCATAATCTAATTTGCAGTGTGACCAACAAACCATAAAACTCACCATCTCCATATGCACTCTAAAGTGATTTTGTATAACTAGATGTCCTTGGTAGGAAATCTTAATTTCGAGGGAATATCATTATTTTCTTGGTTTCAGAAACGTTTCGCTGGCGAGAACTAACCATTCCAAAACCTAAATCCAGGGTTTTCTGTTAACTTATTCCAATCATCTAAAATCAACATCAACTTTAGATTAAGACGGCAATCACGAACAGTTAACTGGGTGATAAGTAAAGACTGAAACTTTCACTGTGTCAAGTACCAGGCACAGTACTCTCAAAGTAACTAAACTCACAGTCTAACGTGAATAAAAATATGACAATAAGATGAAGAGTTTGTAGGAACCAAAAGAAAAACAGAATTAAACAAAAGTGGAATAGTATGCAATCATCGACTTGTTACGGAAAGGTTACCTACTGTTTTCTGAACAGATATATTACTTTAGGAAAGTTTAGTCAGAAATCAGTGTATACTGGTTTGAAGACAGAACTAGTATGTCGTATATTACAACAATCTATATTTTTTATTTATAAAATTCTGTTACTTCAGTTAACGATTCTGTCTGTCTTCACTAATTAGTACTAAATAATCGTTTAATTCTAGACCAAACTTTTATAAGTTCAAGTGAATATTTCCAAATCTTTCACAATAACCTACTGTATAATTGAGATATCATTTAAAACAGCTGAAACTCTTAAAAGATACTATAACGTCTAGAAAGCTGGTATTATGTTTACTCTTTCACATAATTACTTAACCATCAGGAAGGCATATAAGAAATGTGGTTTTCAAGAGGCAGAAATCATTTCTTATCTAGTGTTTCAGTTCAGAAGCTAACTTTTGAGTAAGACATTGGTTTGTGGCTAAATGAAATCCATTGAATTCATCTGCTTCATAGAATAAATGTCCGTCAGTGGCAGCACATCAGTAGAATGCTCACCAACCACACGTGTGGTTTGAGGCTTGATCCCCGGAAGACTGGTAAAAAAGGGGAGGTTGGGTATGAGGCTCGTAACCCCACCCCGTGAAAGATAAACACCGCTGCTACCGAAACTTCAGTGCTCTAACTTGAAGCCTTATGTTCCATTAGTAAAGTAAGTGAATAAAATCTTTAAAAATAGAATAACTACTTTTTCCAACGTTTTATGCAAAATGTTTCTTTCAGTTTTATCAAAAGTAGCTGATTTCATCAAAATACAATCCGTCTATCTTAAAGCATAAACCAAAGCTTCACTTGTTTCATTCCTTAGATTTAATAATCTAAAAGTGTAAAAACTAATAGATATTTTAAAAGTGACTCAAGTTACGGAAATTGTGACCAACTACACAATTAGATAACTTTCATTTATTCTCTTCGCTAAGATTTCTGTAAAGCGGAGATATTTTAAATAATACTTATATTTTTCTCTTGAAGGAATTTCAACTGAAAAGTTAAATTTGATCTTTGCGTTCAAAAAGACATTAACGTTAATCTTCAGTTGCCTTGGTGAGAAAACATGATTATTTTTATATTCTCTCCTCTTTGTCTTTTGACTGTCTCTTTCTTAACAGTTACAACAACTAGATAAAATTTACTGCAGTTCAACTTCACTTTAGTGCGTCTGTGATTTAGTGGTAGAATACACGCGAATCAAACAAAACGTCCGGGCTCGATTCCCACTGATTCACTCTTAAACCTCGTCTAGCTAGAAGTCAGTCTAGAAAAGAGGGGAGGTTAGGTATGAAGCTAAAATCAACACCACCGCTTCTGATACTTCAAAGTTCCAGAAATCTGGAGCTCTATCTTATCAATAATTAACATAGATGGTTAAAACTCTGGTTCTAAAATTAATAATCGAATTTCATGAACAGCAGTTCTACCGTTTGCTTATCTTAATTCAGTTTTACACTTTGAAGCTGAAGCTAGAGAAATTCAAAAGAATATTGAGAGTATAGCAATTAAACCATCTAGCTCAGGGAACATAACAACACCAAAAGCTTTTTTGGCATTCATAGATGAACTGTGGACGGTTTAAATCCTCAGTTATGTTAATTATTAAGAGTGATATTCATATTTTATTAACAGTCCGTATTCAGCTGAAAATAAAACAGTTTACACCCCCGAGAGAATAAACATCTTTTATTCTATAATTAACTTATTGTGCGTCGGTGGCACAGCGGTTAGGACGCTCGCCAATCATGCACAAGGTCCGGGGTTCGAGCCCACGCCGACGCACACCTGATATCTATGGTCGGCCTAGGAATTTTGGGCTACCGATATCCACGCTGAAAATTCCACACTTGTACCAAAAATACGGTGTGGAATCAAGCTATAATCAAGAAATAAAAACTTAAACACTGATTTTCTATTTAAACTTTTGTTTAGTCTTCAGAAACTATTGGATGATATTAAAAATTCAGAAAGTCGTTTAAATGAAATCACTGATAAACGTATTACAGCTGAACGTTTAGCTAAGATAGCTGATGAAAATTTACAAAATCAAGAGAAGTGTAAGAAAGAAGCATTGAATTATCATGAAAAATTGAAAGTTTTGATGTTTAAAACAAATGAGGTAAGATGTTTAGTTTATTATTTTATTTATGTAGATACTAAATTTCTTTTATTAATTCACGTTCCTAGTGGAACATAGGGCTTCAAGATAGAGGCTTGTAGTTTGTGTAGCAGTGGTGTTTATTTTTACAGGATGGGGTTGCTAGACTCATGCGCAACCTTTCCTCTTTACTAGCTTTATTACTGGTTTAGCGAAGTAAAGGTGTGCGTCAACCGGGGATCGAGCCCCGGACCACATGCATGGTCGGTGAGCGTCCTAACCGTTGTGCCACCGACGCACACGAAGATGCTATGTACCTGCCTTTATATATAAATCAAGTGAAATAATACAATATTCAATATAAGGATAAAACTTGAGCACTGTAGTACAGTATAACTCCATTATGGATAAAATTTTATTTTGATTTATTCACACAGTGTTATACAGTAATATTTACTAGTGAAAGTTATGTGGGCACCTTGATATGACTATGAGTAATAAATTGTGCTCGAAACGCCATCAGTATAACACTGTGCGTTTTTGGTGCGTCGGTGGTACAGAAGTAGAATGCTCACCAACCACGCATGTACTTCGGAGCTCGATCCTAGGCCGACACACTCCTTTACCTCACTAAGTCAGTAATAAGACTAGGGAAGGGGGAAGGTTGGGGATTCGGCTAACGACCCCATCCTGTAAAAATAAACACCACCGCTACCGAAAATTCAAAGCCCTAGCTTGGAGTCCTATGTTCCACTGGGAATGTAAAAGGATAAATAAAGACTGTGTTATTTTATCAAAACAAAATTCTATCCATAATAGAGTTAAATATTCAATAGTATTCTTTACTAAGTAAACAGCAAAGTTAAATGTTCAATACAAGTTTAAGTGTAGAAAACGACCATCTAAGTAAATGATCTAACAACTTATTTTTAATATATCCAATAAGAGATGAGATATTTAAAAGCAACTGGTTGAGTTATTTTATTAGCAGCATACATAAACAGATCATTGTATGAATATCAAGGTGATTGTCAAGTTTTCAATTTGTTTTTGGAAGTCTGGTGACTATATCAACAAACATTCACTAAGCTGAGAATGATACAATATTGTTGTACAATAAAGTGTAGGCTTTTGCGTCTTTGTAGTACTTGTTAAAAAGTACTTGACAAAAGTCCCGGATAGTCTGTTTAACTCTAATACCTTCTAAAGTCGTTTTCATAACAGCTTTAGATTCTGTCTTCATTCTCTGAAGTTTTCGGAGTTTAACAATAGTGAAAAGCAGCTATAAATGAAAGACGAAAATATGGACTACTTAAATCCTCAATAAAGGCACTAACAAGCATTATATTTACAGTCTACTTATATCGAAAAATGCTTTCCTTTCAAGTGTTCAACTATCTGCCAGTCAACTGAATTTTACACATGACATAGTCTTTATTGCATAGAAGTTGTTTCCGAAATAATGAACTAAACCTCTTCAACCGTCTTGAGTTCATTTACTCATCATGTTTATGTAAGCTATCTGCAGAATTTAAAAAATCAACGAAAGACATCGATATTTCGTAATACATTTTTTGCATGCCCATAGGTCGGGAGAAATGAGAGTGGACTGAAAAGACGCTGAAAAGACCGTTGAGTGGTACCACATGTTACACCCCCTAGCGGGACCTGAACGGAAAATGACGAATTGGATATGAATCCGAGGGAGAAATGAAGGAGACCATGTGAGGTGGAAACAAGAGCTTACAGGTATTTTGTGAAGCCAGATAAACAAAGATAGAAGAGTACAGAGTACAATGAAGATGTGTCACTGAAGCCCTACATCCCACTAGATAACCAAGGGACGAATAAAAATAGAGAAATAATAAATATAGTTTGGAGATTTTTAAAAAATAATCCTTTAAAACTAATTCAAAAAATATAAATGAATTGGACACTATTTATGTATTTAATACTGAAGAATTTACCAGCACAGAGCAAACCCAATCAGAAGGTAATTAAAGATTCAATGGACAACCATCCATAAACGCACATCGATTATGTAGTACCTTTTTCGACTAGTCCACCACTTGATATGATACGATACAAATGAATAAAAACTATCTCATGAAACAAACAGAGAAGTAAGATTATAATAGATCAGAAAATTAGTGTAGTGATCAAGTGGATTAATATGTGGGTGGAACGATACTGAAATGCAATAGACAACTGGATTAAATATCTAATACAAATGTTCTCCTCCAAATACTTTCTGCTTCACTGAACCACTAAAATATCAGATGAAAAAGACTCATCTGCAACTGGAAGAACAAATTTATTAGACAAACGTTCATTATATATGTATATGTAAACCTCCAGTACATAAAATTGTGCTAGGTCAGTGGTTCCATAAAGTAAAGAGCTGTCCAATAAAATTATCTTCCTCACATAAAAGCGTAATAACAATTAACTAAGTGAATGCAGTCGCCGAAATGAGTATTTTCACTGAATTGTTTGTTCTTCTGTACATCCAATGACTTAAAATGTCATTTCGAGGTTTAGCTACTCTCTGTCAATCAGTATACAAAATAAATTAACGAATTTTTCACATGAAGTTTCATTTCCTAAAGGTATTCACACTGTTTACTAATATACCTACGGAAAAGGACAGAAAGTATTCCATTCAATCGAAACTTTTCCTTTTGGAGAATAATGAAATATCAGTAACTTTAATAACTGTGACAGTCAACAAGAAATCCGTAAATCTACACAAGAGTTTATTAGTATTAAAATCTATAGTACCACAAATTGTCTCACTTAGAAGTTTATCAAAATATAAGAATTAATTAGGAATGCTAAAACAATTTTTATGCTAACTCTCATCTAAGTAGAGTCATTTTCATCTAGACAGCTCAAAAACAGTGATTAATCAACGAAAGATAAATGTAACGAGTTGAATGAACGAATCCTGACATCCGCACAACACGTGGCGTATGCACAACATACTTCCATTAAGTATCGTACTAGTTTATCAGTAATGACGCCGAATAAATACTCCGAATAAACCTTGGTATGAATTATTCATTATTTTCATTATTCCTAAGGGATTCCAGTGGAACATAGTGCTTCAAGAGCACATCCCTGTTCTCTACAGTCTATTTTAGCTGCCTCCAAGATTGCCTATACGCTTTTGTTTCTTCATTTAATGATCTCTTGCATGTCACTTTCAGACGCCTGACTCATCGTTTCCCATTCAAATTCGTCATGTCAGTCACAGGTTTCTTCAGGGTATGTTCAATCCATCTCCATATGCTTCTGCATATTCATTCTATAACAGATTGTTGGTTGGTTAGCTTATCTTTTCCATCGTATCATCTGATATTCAGTATCGATGCAAATCAGCAACCTGTCTGAAATGTTGTTCGTAATTGCACCAATTCTTTGAACTGTACAGAAGCACTGATTTCACATCATTGCTGAAAGTCTGGAACCTTTTTCCTTACACTGAATGCAGTAGATTGCCACACTGATTTCAGAATAATGAAAGTTTATTTTGCTTTTCTGATCTTTGCGGGCCTTAATATCCTCATTCATTCCGCCTCTAGTAGTTGACTGCTTTCGATCATAGATGTCTGCGATCTCTTTCTCACGTTACGTGGTTTAATAAGGTAAGTAATGTTGACGTTAGGCGTAGAGTGTTGGGCAAGGAGGGAAAATCCATCGACGAGGCTATAAAGTTACATAGATTGAGATGGCTAGGTCACGTGCTACGCATGCCCAACCATCGCCTCCCCCGACGGGCAATACTAGCTGATATATGTGCAGGTTGGAAAAGAGTAAGTGGTGGCCAAACAAAAACATGGCATCAATCCATGAAATCCTTGACAGTTAAACTGAGTCAGGTAGGGAGATGCAGACTTCCGGGTTAGGGCCCTCGGGACTCTAAGAATCAATGGCTGGAAACAATAGGTGACATGGCTCAAAATCGTTGTCAATGGCGCAGATGTATTCAATCTTTGTAATCATTCCTATTTCTTTCTACCATTACCCATTCTGTTTCGCTTTTATACCTGTCAAACCCTATTGGTTCTCTACACTCATCTTCTTGTCTACCTTTGTGTGCTATTTGGAACGTGACAACTCGAACTGGTGGACTTCGGTGCCAAGTTCTATGTTGAATCCAGACAGACAGACAGCCTCTAGTAGTTGAGGTGACCTTACTTATATCAATGAAAGCGGTGAATTCCTTCAGATTCATCTTACTGATGTGAAATTTTTTGAGTATTATGATATATGAACAGATTTTCTAGGTAAAATAGTTAACACTAAGCTCATTCACTGAGTTGATTTCAGTGTGCACTACTAATTCATACCTCAAAGGTCGAAGTACTCAGTTGTCATGATCCCGGCGCAAAATACTGCATAGTGAAAGCTTTCAACATCTTGATGCAAATGTTACAAAAGTGTGATTTATTGCTTAAGAGTCATTTTCTTTTTAGCGTTTAATCAATACAAGAACTTTAGTAAGATTACTCGTACTCTATAATTTGTTATTGTTTTATCTGTCACGTGTATTACTTAACCAGCTTAATTTAACCTTGTGAAACAAAAAATATTTCCTAAAACAAAATGATTACAAAATTTTAGAATAAACAAGTGATCACGAGAGCAATGACTGTTTATGAAAACTTATTATTTTGTTTTCATATAGCAGAAATATATTTACCAAGATAACATACGCATATCAGGTGACTTATTTCTTTAAAGAGAGAAATATCTCTTTTTAGCTATGCAGGTGTATACTGCTAAAAGTTTGTAGCCTCTACAACTACCTTTTTAAATCTTTACAAACATTTCTCATACCATTAGAAGTTAATTGGTGGATGTACCTGCGGAATGAAGGTACATTCGGTTGACGAGTCCCAAATTGGGAGAAATGTGCATCCTGGATTTCACTGCTAGTCACCATCCAGCAGTTAACTTCCAATTACATGTCCGGACATCGTCGAAACATCTGCACAGGAAGTCGACCTGCCAACCTGAGACCGAGCACTTCAGTTCAATCAATCGAGGGGGAATCTAAAACTGAAATAAATAAACTGCTCATACCACTTCAAAAATACTCAACTAAATAATATGATGGATATGTGCATGCGTCTCATTTCAGGAATAAAAAGATCAAATTGTTTTGAAATATTCCTTCTAAGTGCTAAGATGGAGAATTAATCTATACTTCACAAGTCAAAGTCTTTTCTGAAACGATGTGAATATTATGTATATCCTCCTTTCAAATCAGTGTGCATAGCATGAATGATATCTCATCAGGATGCTTGCAATACATACTCACTATGGAACTAATAACACTTACTAGCTTTTTACTTTTCTACCTGACATTATGTTTTCTATAATGACTTAGTATTTTTCCATACCTTAACTACCCATGAATTTATCCTTTATGATGTTTTCACTTATAAATGGTAACAGATATTTCTTATTAATTCTACATAAAATTGGTATATTGGTGAGTGAAATAGGTAAAAAGATAATAGGATATCTAGGATGAGGTCTTAGTATACACAGCAATAATTTTCTAACCTTTTATTCACTTTACAGTATTTATAATTAATTTTAAACACTAGGATCTGCATGCTATCAAAAATGAAGGCATCATTCTAGAATCACATGTATCTGGAGCAAGAAATACTTTACGTGGACTTGATAAGAAAACACGTGAACGTGAAACTGTAAGTTTTATACTGATACTTTTAACAAAGAAACAGGTCATCTTATTGATTAAGTACTGTCAGTCTATTGATACAACTACCTTGCAAGAATTTATTTGCATTAAATGTTAACTAGAAGATAAATAATTCGACTGCATTACATTCTCGGCTGATACACTGATAACCCCTCAGCTAGTTCACTAGCCGATAGTAAGCGTGGAAAAACGGCAGAATTGGAAGTTAGGTTAACAACTCCACACCGTGAAAACTATCTTCCACTCTGAAAGCTGGGAATGAAAATTTTAAAAATAACACCCTTTGTAATGATTTATTCTAAAACCTCTCAGCTACTTATAAGTAGTAATAAATAAATACGATAAAACAGAGGTTTCTATTAAATTACTGGTGATAATCATAAAAAATATTTACGTTGACTTGTTGACGATAATTTTATGAAGTGATATACTTCTTTTACTTTACAGTAGTTCTGTTGACAGAAAAAGGAATTCAAGAGCATGTTATATTCATTTCAAATTATTGATGGGACTGCATAACATACTTATTCGGTAGAACTTCGTTTCTAGAGAAATCGACTACATTCCTCTAGTAATCATTAATAGGATATATCTCTTTTCATAAACTCACCGAGTTAACTTGTTTGCTAGTTTTCTAGCCAGTTTCAAGTCCGAGTAAAGAGGAAGGGTTGGGCGTGGGGCTAGCGATCCTACACCATAAAACCAGTCAAACTGCTACAGAAGATTCAGTGCAAAATAAAAATATTAAAAATACAAAAAAATATAAAAACAATCTTATTTTTATCTGGATTCAGAGAGGCAAAATGACGTGAGCTGATGGAAGCTTTCGGGAAGCCAGTCAGCCAGCCGATGTGTCTTCTTTCGATAAAAGGAAAAATAAGAATTGGGACGTGGCATGTCCGTAAAATGTACGAGGCTGGGAAGGCCGTCCAGGTGGCCAAAGAAATGAGAAGATATGGGATAGGAGTGCTGGCTATCTGTGAGAGCAGATGGAATGGGTGTGGACTATCAAAATTGCCAACTGGTAAGTCAGTAATCTACTCCAGCCTGGTCAACCATGAGTGGTTATCATGATTTCACCAGTGGCAGTGAAAGCCTTAATGCATTTGGAACCAATCTCCCCTTGCAGGATTATAACAGCAAGATTCAACTCAAAAGGGAGGGAGGAAGGTCACAATTATCCAATGCTGCGCATAGTGCCACAAACAGCTCAGAACAAGAGAAGAAGGAGGGTTTTTATCGACAACTGCAAAGAGCAGTGGGTAACATCCCGAATGGCGATATCAAAATCCTCATGGGAGATATGAATTCTAGATAACTGGAAGCTGGTAATACAGGAAGATAACTCATCATGGGATCGACAGACTCTTGGTGAGATGAATGGTAATGGAGAACTCTTCAGAGACTTATGCGCTTTGTGATTTGGTGACTGGAAGCAGCGTTTACAAATACAAGGATAGACATAAGGCGACATTGAATTCATCTGACGGACACACCTCAAAACAGATAAACTTCATCTCTATGCTGCTCAAGGAAGTGAAGAAGTATCCTGCTGGACAAAAAGTTTAGAAGGGGAGCAGATGTGGGCTCAGACCATCATCTAGTTCAAGGAACACTCAAGGTATAGTCGAAATCCTTCAGAACAACTGGAAACAGACCAAAACTCAAGTTCAACATTCAGAAAATGAAGGAAAAAACTACAAGGGATGCCTTCACTGCAGATCAGATCAGAGCATAGTTGGATACGCTACGCACCACCACTGAGGAAACTTGTGTCGAAGAACAATGGGACTGTTTGGAAGTGAAGTTCAAGGAAACGTGTACAAATGTTCTAGGAAGAAAGAAGAGACACGACAAGGAATGGCTCTCAACGGACAACTACCTGGAAGCTAATCGAGGAGAGAAGGATGGTCAAAAGGAAGGTGACTCAGTGCAGACATGCACAGCAGAAGAAGAATCTGAGTTCAGTGTACACTACACTGGATAGAGAAGAAAAGTAGAGTATTGAGACAGACAAAAGACAATTCTACGACACAATGGCCGACAACTGATGCAGAACAGGCAGGCAGGACGCAGATGAAAGCGACCTCAGGACATTACACCAGATAACCAGCTCGCTCACTATCCGAGAAGAGATCAACCCAGATGATGAAACCAATAAAAAATCCTGAAGAGAACCTAATTACCAAGGAGAAGAAACAACTGAGACAAAGGGCTGATTACTTTAAAGACTCTTGAATCTACCACCACCTTCAACTCACCACCACCATCAACAGCAGGCATAGAACTGCCTACCAGTGGACACCAACCCTCCAGCAAAATTAGTAATAATAAATGAGATCAAGCTACTGTAGTCCGGCTGGGAAGGTAGCAGGATCAAACGTAATCCCCCTGAAGCACTGGAAACGGATCCTGAGACTGCAGGAGATGTGCTCACGCCATTACTGCAAAAGGTTTGGAAGGAAGGAGAGGTGCCTGCCGATTGGAAGAAAGGCTGGCTACCTCATCAAGCTGCCAAAGAGGGGCAATTTAGGCCTGTGCAGGAAGTGGTGTGGAATAATTCTCTTGTAAAATACTAAGTCCTGGAGAGAATAAAGGATGCACTGCATGTAGAACTCCGCCTAACCGACCAGAACAAGCTAGATTCTGGAAAGGCAAAGCATGTGCTGATCAAAGTGCAACTCTACGCATCGTCATCACAGAAGATAACATAGAATAGCAGTCAAACCCCTCTCTACCTCAACTTCATTGACTTAGCCAAGGCCTTCGCCAGACAGCACTGACCGAGACGTAATTTGGAAACTAATTCTAAACCATGGCATGCAGTACTCAAGTCCTTATCAATCTCATTAACAGCTGGCTATATGACAATGCCACGTATCAGTCAGGTGATCCACAACGTAAAATTCCGCGAGGCATTCGAAGTGAATACAGGAGTAAGACAAGGCTGCCTATTAACACCAGGGATGATATTCTGAATTATGATGGACTGAATTATGCATCAGACCGTCCATAGGAAATAAGAAGACAGCAATACGTTGGATGACCGATAAGAAGACTCTAGAAGATCTGCATTTTGCGCGTGGATGATTTATGTTTAATGTCACACAGACTTGAAGATTCTCAGGCGAAAACCAACAAACTGTCAGAAGAGGCAGACAGCGATGACAGAACTCCAGGCGAATGTGGAGAAGACGGAGGTAATGAAGATAACCTACCAACAGCAACAACAACAACAACCAGCACCAGTCACCATCAAAGGGAGAGATTTCATAGACGTCACTTTCTTCACTTATCTAGGCAGCACGGTTTCAACCACAGTCAGTCGGAACGGATGAAGATGTCAAAGTTAGGCAGAATCAGAAAGGCAAGATACGCCTTCATCAATTTGAAATCAGTTCGGAAATCGTCTGCACTAATTCATCATGAAGAAGAAGATTCGGATTTTCAACATCAATATCAAGTCAGTCAGTTCTTTTGCATTGGTCAGATACCTGCACTGCGCATCACTAAAATCATTTCCAACAAATTACAAACTTTTATCAACAGCTACCTTCTCTGCCTCCATATTGAAGATTAAATTACCAGCCGGCCAGAAACTCTGGGAACAAACAAACCAAGAGCCAATCACTCATTGGATATGTAGGAGGAAATGAAGATGGACTGAGTATACATTGAGGAAACCATCGAATGATATAGCGTGCCAGGCCATCCCTCGAGTGGAATCCAAGTGGAAAATGACGAGTCGGTAGTCACTTCGAAGGTGATATGGAGGAGATCATGTGAGGAAGAGATGAGAGAGTTTAGGTGATCATGGACCAAGCTGAAAAGGATGGCAGAAAATAGAAGAAAGTGAAGATTTGTTGTTGAAGCCCTGTGTTTCACTTGGAACCCAAGGGAACAATAATAATAATAAATAAAAATAATCTTTCATAAATTCTGGTAAACAAATACAAACAAAGTGGAATGATCAGCCGCTTACGGAAGAGAAATTGATGATCTCAGAAATGAAACATTCCTATTTTAGACAAAGATAGGAATAAGATAGATAGACACATAAATTGCACCTGTTACTGGCTAGTGCCCAATCGAAAATATGCAATATTTTGTTCAACATCCGAAGAAAATTCTCCTTAAAATGGTTTAAATTATCTAACCAACAGAAAAAAACATGAGACGCTATCATTCTGAATAAAATATTTAACAAATGAGTAAGGATGTAATTCATTAAACCTTTTTAGTATATTTTTCAAGTAATGGTACTGTACTATAAAACGCATTTCGTTTTAGAAAACACTTCACATGAGAATATATAAACGGTTAAAGTTTACCTACAAACTATTTCATACATACATTTAAGTTCTGTCCACATATAAAAAAAAGGAAAATAATTGAGCTTGTTTTCTTTTCCCGAAAAGGATCTAATCAAATTAGATGAATTGATCTACAAGGCTGTACTATTTGCTCAGAGATTAGAACAAAAAATTGATACAATTGAACGTGATCCATTAGCTGCACAAGAAGAAGCTAATAGTAAGGAGGAAATTATACGCAGATTACGTAATGAATTGGATGAAAGAAATAGATCATGTCATACGCTTACTACAATGATTAGACAATTTCAAGTGGGTAAAATAGAAACGCTTGTAGTTATTTGTCTATCTTGTCTTTTTTTTCACTTTTGAATGACATGATTAACAAATCATAAAGGTTATTCTATTCTATTCTATTCCAATTCAATCACCAGCCTCTTGTAATACCTGAATCATATTCACTAGACAGTCGTCAATCATACTTAAAATTATATTTATCAAAGTGATGAAGGGTTATTTAGAGAATAATAATTAAAGCTTCATTTAAGATAATATGCGAACATACGGTACAAAAATTTTCAGCATATTTAGTTCCAAAATACTCTTTTCTTCATAAAGAATTTACACATAAACTATTATTCTGAAGTATATATCTTCATTTCGTTGAAGAATTGCAGTGTTTACTAGTATAACACACGCAGACCACAAGCACAACTGACGAAGGAAGAAAGCAAAGACGGCGAGGAAGAGACGTTTATTTCAACCAAGCCAGACTTGAATTAACCGGGTTACAAGCTAGTTATCATCGTTTATAACAAGTCTAGATAACCGGTCTTCCTCTTGTTCCAGTGATGCCACGTCAACATTTCTTTCTGAAAAAGAATAAAAAGAAACTTGTTTAGTGACATTATAGTGGTTTCTATTGCATTACACTAGGAAGCAAGTTAAATTAGCGCGCAAGTTCACCTATAGGTCATTTAATATAACTGGATGATTAAAACAATGATAAATCTAGGTGCAATAAGACATTTCGGTGGAGAGTAATTTCGGTAGGCCAGTGATTCATTCAAGCAGGCTGCCGAATGTAGTGCTCTTTAGGAAAAAGTCACTCTCTGAATTAAAAAGGTCATCAATTCGAACAAAGCATGGACGACAAATGTATGCGGATAGTAGGAATTCATTCTTTAGTATTTCGTAGACTCTTCTCAAGTGGCTATAACCTGAACACTACAAAAATATAAATTATATAAAACATTTGAGCATACTTTTTCTCATTGATAAGCAGAAGTTGATAGTATTTATAAGTATCTATAGGTGTCGAATGATGTGAGTTGTTAAAGACTGACTATTTGACAGGATAATTAAACAAATACTCCTAAGAAAGAGAGTGTCTGTGCGCAAACAAATTTTAACTAAAAAGAGAATATCAATACAATAGGTTACGTAACTACAGAAAAACGGTTTTATAAAACAGTGTGCGTCGGTGGCACAGCGGTTAGGACTCTTACCGATTATGCACATGGTCCGGGGTTCGATCCCCTGCCAACGCACACCTGATATCAATGGCCGGCCTGTAAAATTTGGACTACTGATATCACATACTGAAAATTCCATACCTGTACCAAAAATACTGTGTGGTTTCAAGCTATAATCAAAATTAAAACAGGAGTAAGATGAGTGACGTTCAGAAGAAATAAATATTTTTAAACAGAACGGGAGATATAGAATAATAATAATCACGAAGGTAGTGTATGGTTCACCAGTGTGTCTTTCTGCATTTGATGATGATTACTTCACTGAAGAAAGCAGTCTATGATCAGCTGATACTTCTCACTAGAGATAAGTGCCAGCTGGAGTGACAATTTACATCAGAAAATCTTGATCTTTTAACCGAAAAGTCCTGTGAAGAGTCCCAAACTAAAACGAAATAGCTCAGGTTTTCTAGTGGTTCTCTAACGGACGTCAGCTGATGATAAAATCATCCAACCAATCAAATCCCTGGAAACCACCACTTGAAATTCTGAACAGTCGATTTATTCTAGTTTAGAATACTTCAGAAAATCAGTATGAAACCAAGAATATGACTGATATGTTTTATAAAGAAACAACCTACTTATAAGTTAATGATCACTTATAAATTCGAAATAAATTCACAAGGAATAAAATGATAACCACTGCCAATATTTAACCCACGACATTAAACCAGATTTCTGGAAAACCAGTATAAATAGATAAATAAAAAAAAATAAGGGAGTGGAATTTCACTAAATAAACTAAATATCTTCAGATAAAAATGAGTAACAAGTCAAAACTTTTGCATTCAGATTCTCAAGAAAAGGAAATAAAGATTCAGTCTGTTTATTCACACATCTGGACTTGAATAGGATTACGTATGTATCACCTTGCTGCCTGAAGTCATCAACTTACATTCCACACAAGGCCCTAGAATGAGACATTTCAATTTTTAACTGTCTCATGACTTTCATTAACTCTTTGAATGATGTCAGTTGGTGGCAAAATTATTTTACTTTAAGAAAGTCCTAATAATGAGAAAAGATAATGAAAAAAGAGTTTCTCTAAAACTTAAATAAACATCAGCTATGTGAATGGAAAAACAGTGAAATAGGCGATGAATGACTGTGGATAGAAGTACAAGTTAATTTATGCTAAGAGTGATATAATATCAATTAATACATCAGGTCAAATTCGGGAAAGTTAGATGAATTTTAGTAAACTTAGTTAACCTGTATATTAGACTAAGTTATGATGATAATAAAACCACAGGAATAGTATTACTGACAAAAAGATGTAATAGGATAAAAAAGAATTCATATATTTCAAACACCAGGCAGAAATTGCATTTTTTTTTCTTCATTTCTTTACATCTTGAGTGTAACATATGGGTTCAAGCTTAAATTTTTGTTATCAGTGGTATTGTCTTTTACTAGGTAGGCATGCTCAACCTCTTCTCTTTTCTGAGACAGTAAACAAGGAGAGATTTAGAAGTTCCTCCGCTGTGTGTGCTGCTGGTAAGCATTACGCCATAGGACAACCTTACATTGAAATTCAAATTTACACAAAGTATTTGTGTTCCTGTCCTTCCATTCCATTCAGTCATTAATCCTGCTTTCACTTTGTTTATCGCTTCTCAATTCAGGAATTTTGTAGAAGGCCTTATACAATATGCTACTTGTAAATTCTTATCAGTAGGACACACCAAAAAAACTACTACAACTGTGCGTCGGTGGCACAGTGGTCAGGGCTCTCGCCGACCATGCACATGGTCCGAGGTTCGATCCCCTGCTGACGAACACTTGATATCTATGGTCGGCCTGCAAAATTTGGGCTACTGATATCCATGCTGAAAATTCCATACTTGTACCAAAAATACAGTGTGGAATCAAGCTGTAATCAAAAAAATATATGAACTATCTTAGATTTTAACCTTAATAGGAAATAGAGGACAAAGTAGTTTAATCGATTTTTAATTTATATCTATGTGTCGTGATATGTCTCGTGAATATTTTGCTGTAGTTTCATTATTCTTGTTAATTTTGAAGGCCACTTCTGAGTGATTATATCTTATTATGTCTTTCCTACCCGACCTTCGTGATTATTACACATTTTAATTTTTTAATTTGGCCTTTGACCTGAAATATTTCTAAAACAGTACCACTATCTATCTTCTGTTTATTACACCTGGTAATTTTAGAAATCCTGAAAGTTGGTCAGCATATTGTCTTGGATGTAGGCTTCATGCTTATTGATCTTCATTTCCAAAGCGTGTTCGAAGCTTTGAGATTTAAAATCCCTTCATCCAGGATTGAAGTTTTCTTTATTTACAGATATCATTTACCAAGCAGCTTCCGGCTAAACCGGCCGAGTAGTTCTCTCCAGTTACCAAACACTAGGCACCGAGTAGACATCATCATTCAAAATAATTAAAAGACAAAACTGCTCAAGTCTTCTTTGGTTTGCTAAGGCTATCGCAATAAGACGGCTGCAACCTGACCTATGTGTCCAAAAGGAATCTGTTGTTGGACTCCAATTACCCTGGTGACTCATCCCTTATTAACTCTTAGTCTTCTAACTTCAATAAATTATCCTTTCAACCCCCCCTATCGCCTCATTACTCCTATTTGACTTCTATAGGAGCTAATTCTTCCTGACCTTATGAATTCCAGTCACCATATTACGTCATTATCTTTTCATTCAACCTCTTGCATGCTAACTTTTGATCTTCTCTTATCTAACTACGTAACTGTTACTAATTTTTTGTTACTACCCTGCCAACAAACTTGTGGATTAATTTTCTAGAAACTTCTCTCTTACAAGATATATATATATATGGAGGATTTCATCATGAGCTGATATCAGTTAGAGAACCACTGGAAAACCTGGGAGTACTGGACAGCCGTTTCGTCCTAGTTTGGGACTCTTCACCAGTACCCACCCACCGGGGTTCGAAACCAGGACCTTCTGGTTACAAGACAAGCGATCTCGTAGACCATTGAGCCACTGGCACCCGATCTAATGGCCAACCCATAATTTCTAACTTCTGCCGATTCGCGACACAGCGTGACCATTTCGCAATGTCATCTTCGATGAGTTACTGTCTCATCTTCGATCTGTTGTACCCTACTGGTCACGGCTTCCCACTAGAACTCCAGGTTAACTTTCTGAATAGGGCCAGTCGCTAGAGAGCATCAGAATAATTTTCAAGCATTGGTTTTGTAAGGATTTTGTTTGATTGTATGAAGGATTTCATCATGAGCTGGGTGCGTACTGATGAAGAGTCCCAAACTAGGACGTAAAAGCTGTTTAGTACTCCCAGGTTTTCCAGTGGTTCCCTAACTGATTTCAGCTCATGACGAAATCCTCCATACAATCAAACAAAATCCCTACAAAACCAATACTTGAAAATATATATATATATATGTGCTTACAATTCAGCTACCTTGTCGTCCTGATGTTTTACCTCACTATGATACTCTTATAATATACTTGCTGATGACAGAAGTATGTTAAATTTTACTCTGATTTTTATTTGCTAAATATTATAGGTTGTAAGCAGCTGATGATAACTAACTAAATAAAGTGGATGCATGTTATACTGCACCAATGTTTGCTATTTCTTTGCTCAAATTTATAAATGGGAATTCTTGTATGGTGATCAATTTTATTTCTACATTCCTTTGATATTATAATAGATTGCAAATGATAAAATGGTTGGTATTACCAGTTTATATTTGTATACATATATATTTCTTTTCATAGAATGAAAAACGTATTTGTCAAATGAAATGTGATAAAATACAATCACAATTAAATACTGTTGAAAATTTATTGAATACAACACATTTAACAGTGAAAAACACACTGATTGCATTGAAAAAAGTTGAAGCAGAGAAACAAGAACTTTTAGTTACACTTAATTTAAACAAATTTCAGGTAGGTATTTAATTCAAATGCATGTTCAAGAATAAGTTTTTGAAAAATCAATTATGAGAATTAAATGATGGATGGTTAAGGAAATGGATAGGATTAGACTTTAAAAAACTATATATATATATATATATATATATATATATTGATTCAACACTAGCCAGTAAGTAACTGGTGTCATGTGTTTAGTCCTTTTTCCTGTGCTGACTGAATTCTATCAGTCAAGTTTGGAATGTGGCCACCATTCTAGGTGGATTGACTGATAAAATTTAGTCTGTACCAAACAAAGGACTAGACGCGCAACACCAATTACTCACTACCTAGTGTTCAATCAAAGTAGGAGGTCAATCACGAGCCGCAATAGCTCAGTTGTAACGTCTCCAACTGCATCACTAGGTGGCATGGGTTCCAATCTCAGAAGGGAAGGTTGTAGATACGCCTTACTGACTGGTGAGTGTCAACTAGCACGAAACCTAAATCTAAGGCTTCCTGTTGATTACCTCTAACCATCTATTTATATATGTATATTGTTCTCTTAGGTTCCAAGTGAAACAAAGGGTTTCAACAGCACTTCTCCATTCCTCTCTGCTCTCTGTGGTCTCTTAGCTTGCTGCACAATTGCCCATATGCTTTCATTTTCTTCTCTATGTCACCGGATGATCAACTAGTGGTTTCACATTCGAGTTCTATCTGGGGGTCTGGCACATGATGTCGCTCAAACGTCTCCTCTAATCAATCTCCATTTCAATTAACTTATTTATTGATACACATATATATGATGGATCTACTGTAGGGCTGACATAAAACGTTTTTCTCAGAACTTTAAAAGTAGGAATCATAAATGATACAAAGTATCATTAAGCTTCCATTAAATTTATTAAATCGTAAGTTACCGAAACTAGAATTGTATCATACACAATTATAAAATGTTAAGATGATATTATAAGAGCTATATCGTTAACTCGTTGATATGGAGTCATAATTCAATTCTAAGCTGCCAATAGGAAGTAAGATCTTTCACGAAGAAATATATATCCACTGCCAAAGATCTACAAATAAGGATGAAATAACTGTCCATCTGACGTCAAATCACAAGGAAATTACCTTTCCTCATACAATATTTAATCAATCAGTTATAAAGAATCCAAACGCCGCACTTTAGTGTTCATATAAACCTCATTTAACTAAATATCATTTAAAAACTTATACACAGTTCATATATTCTAAATAATTATTTGCATTCATTATTATTGATTTCATTCCTCGCTTTCTGAAGTGGAACATAAGGCTTTAAGCTTTAAAATTTCCGCAGTAGTGTTTGTTCTTAGAGGTTGAACTTGTAATTGGCTAGTAAACTAGGTGGAGTTTAGCAGAGCGTCATCCGGGTGTCAAACCCGGACCGCATGAGTAGTTTGTTGACATTTTACCACTGAACCATTGAAAAACAAACGGTTACATGAAGTATTAACAGCACAGTGCACTATTTTCATTCACTATCAAGCCTTTTATGTTTTTCTTCTACAAACGTGGGATTTAAAATTGAAATTATTTGTGTGAAATAAACTGATCTATTTTCACAGAATGAAATTATTCTCATTATCCCAGATGTTTTCAGTTCAACTTACCTGTTATCGTAGTTGTCCTGATGGTGGATTCTTCCCTCTACTTTGATGAGTAATAAAGTTCTCCATAAACTAACACATTATGATAATTTTCTTTACCTTACTATTATTATTATTATCATAAATAGAAAACTTCGTAATGTTTTATATCACTGATTAACAGAAAATTAAATCTTCATAGTTCTCATAAGTGATAACATTAACGATAAGGTTGAAATTCTTTATATCAAATTTAAACAAGTTAACCTGTATGAATAATTCCTTTCTACATGGAAACTTTAGTAATCAAAATAGAAATTAAATAGGCCACCCAGCAAAAACGTGAGCAGAATGAATTTTATAGAAGCATCATTTATGAAAATTATTAAGGTAAATTAACGAATTGCATCAGATCATCAACAATAACAACCGATGTATTTCAGTGAAGATTTCGTCACGAACCAACACCAGTTAGAGGACAACTGTGTCATCCCAGTTCGGAAGTTTTCAGAGTTGGACACCCACAACCCCATCAGAAATCGAATCCAGGACATTCAGTCCACAAAGCTTGCTCGTTGACAATTCAACCAATGGACTGGTATCCAATCACTTGTGAATTCTAACTTCTGTCACTTGAATACCGACCAATGGCTGGATTTTCAACAGGTCTGTTTCGCAGGCTGATAGTCCTAAATTCCATCCTTTGTGAAACCAGAGGTGTTTACTGATAAAAAGTCTGAAATATGGTGGATACAGCTATCCAGTACTTTCTGGTTTTCAATAATTCTCTAACTGATTCTGGCTGGTGACGAAATCTACATTTAAATTAAACCATATTCCTACAAAAACCCATAATCTGAACTAATCTATCGACAGTAATGTCTACGCAGGCTGATCAACTTGAACGGATCATTCATTGCTAGGGAAGATCAAGAAAACATGGTGTAAAGCGTAATCTTAGACAGTTCAAATGAATACGGTCAACGAATCGAGGGACAGCTTTTTTTAACACTTGCATTTCATAAACAAATAAGAATTTGAATAGTCACTTAATTCATCACTAACAATTCACACAAAGTATATGCTTTTAACAACTGATTTCCAAAGCATCTAGCTGGACTAATCAGTTAATAGAATGAAATATAAGACAATGTACATTAAAAAATATTAGGTCATTACAGGGACTGGTAGCGAACGGTATGTTTCTAAGTCATTGAAAACACAGGATAATGAATGAACTAGTATTTGGGCACGTTTATCCTAGTGTATTTGAATAACATAGCAACATGTCGATCGGTTTCAGTCAGCTCAAGTGGAAGGCGAATGGAAAGCGATGAGTTATGTGTAGATCCGAGGATGATCCGGGAGAGGTCGGGTAAGGAGGCAATGAAAGCTTATAGACAATCTTAGAGCTAGCTAGTAATGACTGTAGAGAATAGGTGGAATGGAGGTGTGCTGGCGAAGTTCTGTGTTCCACCACGAACTCAAGGGACGAATAATAACCAATAATATTAATCTATTTAAGTAGTTTTCTATATTGCTCTTCGGTAAATTAATTAATGGTACTTATGGTAAAACTTCATTTAAGGTTCGTCGAATGGACAATAAACTGAAAATGTTAAGAGATTCAATTATGAATTCAGAAACTCGACAATTACAAATGGATGCTTTAGAAAGAGAAGTTGAAGCAGAAATAAACATGCGGAAGACAAATTTACTATCAGAATTACATTTACTCAAGGTGAACTTAGAAGAAATACGCAAAGACTTTAATAAACGTCAAGCCCGTTTATGTCACGTAAAATCAAGGTTGGTTGATAAATTATCTGGTTGTACATTTGTTATTTTCAAGAAATCTGTGTTCCAGCAAGTTGTACTAGAATTACGGAGTATACATTATATACGTATTAATGTATATTGAACTTTTCAGTTCATAAGACTACCACATTAAAAGGAACATGGAGACAATGAATTTATGATCCTTTGTAATATTATACAAGAGAAGTACAATGTTTCGAAAAAAATTTCTTCTATTTCATCGCCTATCAGCAACAGTTAGAGAACCACTGAAAAAGCTAGGGGGCACTGAACAGTTGTTACTTGAAATCGGTTAATCCCCTGACTCACTTAACTTCACTGGAATAATAAATATATATTGAGGTGACTGAAGGTAACATTCTGCTCATATTTCAAGTGTTTTGTATATGCACTGGATCTGGTCCCAGTGTCTGCATAGTCAACCAGTCCACTTTGCAACCGAAAGGTTGTGGTTTCGAACTCTCTTGGATGCGTACTGCCGAATAGTTTCAGAGTAGGACGAGAAAGCTGCCCAATACTTACTGGTTTTCCAGTGGTTCTCTAAGTGATGTCAACTCGTGACCAAACATGTGACTAATTAAGTCCCTCCAAACTAGCACTTGCTAATATGTAATAAATAGCAGTTATTAGGTGTTAAGTGCACGATAAAACTGATTACAATCCTTGGAAATCTCAGTAGTCCAACATAATGTGAAACAGCAGATTTACACTTCTGTAGGTAACTGCCCCGCCCTAATAAAAAAACACTCCTACAGAATTCACATGCAGAAATGAAAATCTTCGACTACGCTATAACCCGTTAGGCGTAGTATTTATTCGTTCTTTATTTATTTATTTTTATTTTCTTCCTTTACGTTCCCAGTGGAACATAGGGATTCAAGTTGGAGGTTTGAAGTTTCGGGAGCAGTAGTGTTTATTTTTAGAGATGGGTTTACTAGCCTCATGCCCATTTTCCCTCTTTACCAGTCTTACTACTTGCTTAGTGAGGTAAAGGTGTGCGTCGGCCGGGGATCGAACCCTGAATCACATGTGTGGTCGGTAAGCATTCTTCTACTGTGACGCCAACACACATTTATACGTTCTAGTAAAGGTTTTTTAATTACAGATTGTCACAAGGACACTGAGTACATTTTGTCCGTAAATGCTCAATTGATAACTGGACACTGATATAATAATAGAATTTCCACACTGTGGTAGAGTATAATTCTATCATAGAATGATTTTATTTGATGAAAACATAGTGACACCAAATTATTATTAGAGAAAAACTCAGCAATTGCAATGCATACACTGACTTACAATCATACAATAGGGTGGGACAGCGCTACAGTTCTAAAAAATAATAATTCAGGCAGTTGTAGGGAGGGTTTGCTCATTGAATCATTCTTCATCGAATCTACACCTAACACGTACAATAGGAATGAGGCAACACCAATACCATAGATATGGAAAAAAGTACTGCCAATAAAATCAAAGAATAAGAAACAGTAAGGTTATATCAAGGAAGCCGTTAAGTTATGTAAGTGCCTTGATATAATTATTAGTCATAAATTGCTCTAGAAACATAGTCAGTAAATAATCCTGTATCATTGTGTATTTTTATCAAATATAACTATTCTGTGATGGAACAGAATGTTACTATTCGCCTCCAGCAAACATCCATAACAAGTGACTGATAAAAACCTGTATTAAATTGATGAAATATTATCAGAAAAACAATAACAACAATACAATTGACAAAATAGTCTCACGTGTATGTTTCTCACATAATTGAAATCTTCATTCAAATGTTCTGGAAACAACTCAAGGAAGTAGGAAACCTTGTAACAGAAATCCGTTATGACAAATTGGAAATTTAAATCAACACACTGAAAGCTTTCTGATTAATCCTTTAGAGATTTTTGTTATCTTGCCCAAATAAATTAACACGCAGTAGATGATGTTTGAAGATGAAATGAAAATCTGGAAAACGGCAGGATTCGAACCAGTGGTCTGAGAATTACTAGTCCGGCACTCCACCAACTAAGCTAAGAGAACGAACTAGTAATGACATCATTATCTCACTGTAATCACCACGGATAATGCCTAACTTTCATGTGAATAAATGACATGCTTTTATTATTATTGACTCCTTTAGTTCTTAGAGGTACATAAGGCTTCAGACGCACGTCTCCGTTGCGTTCGGTTCTCTGCCAACGTTTCCACCTGGCTCTACGTCTACCTGCATGCTTTCATCTCCTCTTCGCATGACCTCCTCCACGTCACCCTCGAATAGTATCACAGCCAAATAAATATTTATTTACATCTGAAGAGCTGATTGTATGCTCCTGATTATATTCCGAAAATCATTAAGTTTTACTTAAATGAATGTAATAAATTACTCATTAAAGCTGATTTCTATGTACTTTATTTCAATGGTTATAGGTTACTTTCAAAGATGGTTTGGTCTGATGGACTGAAACATCTGTTTTGTACTCCAGATAATAACAGTTACTGATACCACTATATGCAACATCTATGCATTGAAAATAATTCATTTTTAAATTATTAAGCTGTACATTTCTGCGTTAAGCAGTATTATAGACTGTAGTAGGAAACTAATAAACAGTAGATTCCTTTCAGGATTTGATCATGAGCTGACGTCGGTTAGAGAACCATTGGAAAACCTGGGAGTAATGGACAGCTGTTTCGTCAGTCTAGTTCGGGACTCTTCATCAATACACACCCACCGGAGTTCGAACCCAGTAGATTGTCAGATGACTGCATTATTAATAACATATTCAAGGCAATCAGTAGGAAATCTGAACAGCTCAGTGATAAATTCTTTAAATACAATTATTTGTTCACAACATCTCCAGTCTTTGATGTCCATGCATTTTATCAACTTCTTAGATACGAAGACCTCCTACTGACTGCCTTCAAAAACCTTATATCAATAAAAGAAGGTATCAAGATGGCGAGTCTCCCGATTTGATGATCACAGCCCAAAATTAACCAATAGAATTCATTTAGCCTTAAAAATTAAATATGGAAGTGCTTACTGTTCAACCACTACTCAACGTATAATTACTTTTGTAACGGTAGGAGACAAGAGACTTGGTAAATGGATGCTGATTTCTGGAATTTGGTATTTCTTTATAGTGAAATTGTGTACACCTTATCTTCAACGCACCATTTGTACAGGTCTCCTATGCTGTACTACTTCTGGCCTCCACAACGCTGTATCATTTACTTTCTCTGGCATCAAATCTATCCCCCTGCTACTTGATGTTTTTTATGCCGATGAACGTCTGCCTATACACCACTGATAAATCTTATCAGTAGTACAGACCACAGTTTGAGTTAAGAAAACTGACAGTGAGTTCTTCCAATGTGCAATAAAAAAATGATAAAATGCTGGAGCAGTGAACAATTTAAAGAATTATAATTTCCGTTTTTTTTAATATTTGACGATTGAGGATAAAAGCTGTTTATTTTACTTACTATCTATTTCTTCGTTAATTAGATATGAAGTCACACTGATTACAATGGATAAAAATGCGGAAAATGAAATAGACACTAGGATGAGATATATTTTAGAGGTGAGTAGTTCAAGCACCATAAATATGACATTTTATGACTAGTAGTATTGGTAATTTCCATATTTTCAGGAATTAGATTTTTTTAACTGAATAATGTAATTATTGCAAAAACCAAATAAGAATAAACTTTTTCTTTTAATCGTTATCATCAGTGAAACGAGTTAATCGTCCTTCTGATCGACTGACTAATGGATCAGTGTAGAATTTAGCATAAAAGAGCATCACTGCAACTTATCAAAGTTCGAAGAAGCACACAAAATAGAATGGTGTCACAATAGACAGACATGGATGTGACAAATGGAATATTTTCATGTATTGGTTTCGTAGGGATTTGGTTTAAGTGTTTGAAGGATTTCATCATGAGCTGATATCTGTTACAGGACTATTGGAAAACCTGGAGGTACTGGACAGCTGTTTCGTCCTAGTTGTCCATTGTCGTGATGAAATCCTCCAACCAATTAAACAAACAGAACAATCATATAAAGTTGACTGAAGGTTTTATACAGCTTCCTGTATGACTTTAGGCTGTTAGTAAAGCATTTCCAATTCTACCAAAAGACATCGTTACACACAACTATATCAAATATCTTGCAGATAACTAGATAGTATTTAAAAAACGCTGTAGTGTCACTTTATTACACCCAATTCATTCAGTCTTACCTTAATAACAACAATATTCAAGGACATTAGCAACTATGGTCTTAAGAGCAGATAATGCAACCCATACAACACTCAGACAGTGATTTCGGATATGTAGTCCTCAAGAAAACAGGTAATTTAGTAGATAGTTGCAAAATTCGACTGGATTGCTGCATATTCTCATATGTAATGATAGACTGATTTCAAGTGGAAAACAAAAAAAGAGTTGTGAACAGATCAATACATGTTAACCATGCACATAATCACTTAGCGTAAAAGAAAAGCATGTAGGCAGCATGTAGCAAACAAATCTCGTTATGTCCTGCAGAGTATTAAGTACCAGTGACTTCAGACAACCCATAGTATGATTAAGAATTGATTCGTTTTCAATTTTTAATCAATTTCTTGAATTAAATTCACAATTTGCAGCCTACACAGTTCGAGGTGAAATTCCACAACAGTTTCCTTTGAAAACCGAAATTATTTAGATCACAATATGTGATCTCTTTGATACCGTAAAGAGCGATCAAGAAAGCAGACATAGTTGTATGATACTATATACTACTTATTAACTGATATGAGTAGTTTGGAACCATTCATACATATCAACCAGTAGTGCTTGCTAGCGAGACCAAACTGATCCAAACACACCAGACAACCGTTTTACCAGTCATACAGACCAGTTAGAATTATATAGATTCTTTTATTTTTACTTTTATGGAGATTTACACTATTCAAATGCCATATGTATGCATTAGACCAAGCATACAAATGACCATATTATCGATGGAAAAATAGCACACTTATGAATGCTTATACTCGTCTAAAATTCTGACATGAAGCCAGAAAGTTAATTCAGCTTTATAAATAGCACTTTTATTTCTCATTTTAAGGAGAAATTCCTTTTAAGATACTATAACTTTTGCAATTGATAGTGTTCTCTGAGCTCCTTGGTTTAATTGCGGAGCTTTCATCGTCTTTCTGGACGACATCTTCAGCGCAGTATTTAGGATAAAGTGAAATGATTTAAATTTCTTCATGAGTCTCCCGGTAACCATCTTTAGATATTTATTGACCGTTTTCTATTGATAGAACAAATCATCCACCTGAGTTACAAATCTTTTCTATTATACTATAACTTTATTAGTTATTTTTTTTTATTTCTCAACAGTCCAAGTGGAACATTGGGATTCAAGTTAGAGCTTTGAAGTTTCGGTAGAAGTGGTGCTTACTTTCACGGAGCAGGGTTACTAGCCTCATGCCCAATTCTCTCTCTTTACCAGACTTATTACTGGCTTAGTGAAGTAAAGGTGTGCGTCGTCCAGGAATCGAACCCCAGTTCACATGTGTCGTTGGCGAGCATCTTACCACTGTACAACAGACGCTGGTTTTATTAGCAGTATACTAAGAACTATATGCATATATGTACCTTAATGAATACAAATGTAACAACCAATGAACATTTTTCAAAATGACAGATATTAACATTTTTATCTAAAATTCATTCTAGGCATTAAGTCAACGTCAAGAATTAAGACAAAAAGGCGACGAATTAGACATTGTAGTTCGTACAGCTGAAGAAGAATTAAGAGCACTGGAGAATACAGTGCTAGTTATGAATTCATTGAATGAAATGGCAAGAATAGCCTTACCTAAAGTAAATCTATTGATATCTTTAAATTATTAGTTCATGTTTTCTTTGGTAAATTAAACATACAGTAATTGAGAATGGTATGACATTTGAAGAAAGAATCAATGAATTAAAGTTATCCACTGGTCTGTACAGAAAAAAATTGACACAGTTCAATCAAACAGCCTTTTTTATTCTTCTAATTTTGTCTGATAAATGTTTGCTTGTTAACCACATCATTTGATATTAGACGGTTGGAGGCAATCGACCACAGAAAACCTTCGACCTAGGTTTCGTGCTAGCTGACACACACCAGCCAGCAAGGCGTATCTGAAACCTTGAAGGAACTCATGTCCCTTCTGAGGTTCGAATCCACGCCACCCAGTGCTGCGGTCAGAGACGTTACCATTGAGCTACTCGGGCTAACTGATAGAATTCAGTCTGCACCAAAGAAAGGACTAGACACGTCATACTAGTTACTGGTGTCTAATCAAAACACATATTTTTATCAATGAAAAGTAATTCAACAGATCATTAGACAGAATTTTACTTTTTAATATTTTTTATTTCCTGTGATATAGAGCGATTCATGTATATCACTTGTTTAGATTGTAAGTTTACACGCATCACTGCTATCCACATAACCAGTGATTTTTTCATTCAATAAATAGTATTTGCCACAAAAAATGAGAAAAAAATTCAGCAATATTGATGAGCCTTTAACATTGAAACAGTACGGTGTTTTGTAGTTTCTACAAGGGACCAATCTTGGAGAGAGTGATTTCCTGAAAGGGGCTCTAGTTTCATTATGAATCGATACAGATTCTAATTCCTAAGGGAAAACTGAAGATACGTCTTGCTGATGAATGTTTAACACAAAATAAAAAGCACATACCGGCTAGAAAACTATCAAGCTAGTAAACTAGGCGAGGTTTCTCTTTATTAAGTATTATCATATTTACTTCTTTTAAAATGATTATTCTTACAGAACGTTCCTGAAGAATCGATGATTGAAGAAGAAGTAAAATTAAAAGAATTATTAAAACAAGCTGAAACTCAATGGCAACAAATACGTGAAGAACGAAGAAAGCGACGCGCAGCCATAATGGTAATAATAAGAATTATAATGGTAGGGACTAAGTAACAATATCATTAAAAGTATTACTGTTACACTGTTGAAAAGAGGGGGAAGTCTTGAACTTTGACAAACGGGAAAAATGATGAAGAGAGTAGGTAATGAACAAAAGAACTTTGTGTGTTGGTAGTAGAGTATGATCGGATGGTAACTCCTGACTGTTGACAGCATTAGGATTTATCCGTCTTTCAAAAGTTAACTTTTACAAGACCGATACGTTGAAGTTTAATATCCCTACATCCATATTCTCTTTATAGTAGGCTACTTTTATTTAAGAAGATATTTTCTGTATATTTTACTATCTGCCGAAGCCGTAGAGACAAGACTCCAAGTGAACATAGAGAAAACAGAAGTGGTGCAGATATTCAACCAACAACAACAACAAGCACCAACCCCTATCCATCGGATAAATCTAAACAAAGTCGCCCCTTCCACTCATCTGAGCAGCATCGTTTCAATTACGAGCAGCACAGATGCAAATGACAAAACAAGACAAGCTTCCAAATCAGTGTGAAGATCTACAGCACTCGCAACGGGAAACAAGATAGGGATCTTCAACACTGACATCAAGTCCATGCTTCTAAGGACTTGGCGAGCGCATAATCAAAATCATTTCCAACAGGCTACCGCTAACTTTCATCGACATCTTCCTTCACTTAGCAATGAAGATCAGATGACCTGTCAGAAAGAATAACCAACAAAGAAATCTAGCTGGGCAGCAAACTAGTCAAGAACCTATCGCTGAACAAGTATATAGCAGGAAATAGGGAGGGCCTGGGCAGACACTGAGGAGACTGCTAAGTTACATCACACAACAGGATCTCGAGTGGAATCCAAACGGGAAGCGATGACTTGGGAAATCATATGAGAGCTGATGAGCGATCGTAGGGTCATCTCAAAAGAAATGCAGAGAAAAGATTAAAATGGCAATGTGCTGCTGAAACTCTATTGTTCCACTCGGAGCTCAAGGAACGAGTAATAATAATAATAATAACGTTCATCTACGTCTTGATGTCACTTTTTCCATTTCAGACTACGTGGTTAGAGATGAGGAGTCATCACTATCATAGGCATCGAAATAAACGAATAGATTTGAGCAACCAGAAGCAATGCCTAGTGGTCAGCAGATATGAATAATTGCCTTTTTAAAACTGTAAGGCTAATGATCAAGTAACGTGAAGGGTTAAGAAAAGATTGTACTGATTGGTAGTTCAGTTCTTTGATGGTTAGGCTAGCTGTTATCATTAATGTTATTCAGTTTTGTAGACAAATACTAACCCCAAAAGCTACTCCGAACAAGTCAATGAATAAAAAAGTTAAAACGCATGCTAAGCGAAAAAAATATCACATGTATGCTTTACACTACGAAGCTTTATACTAAAAAGACGTCGTAATGAGATTTAGTCTGACATTTTTAAATCGTGATTCTTAGCAAAGATATCTTTTAGGCGGCTACATCCTCCAAAGCTGTACAACCGCACTTATGTATATATATATATATATATATATATATAAAGTTTACATAGATACAAAAATGAGTGAAAAAAACAAAAAACCAAAAATATGGAGTCAAACCGAACCAGATCCATGGTAAATGTAGAGGTTGGACTAGTTTCTTTAGAACACATGGCTCCAGCTTTTCAGTGTATATGGCGAGGACCTCTGCAGTACAAAGAAGTTAGAAAGGCACCACCTTTGATAAATTTTGTTTGCTTTGTAAATTTTTAACTTTTTATAGGAAGTATTGACAGCAGCCAGAAAGGCCTAAGTATCTGAATCATTCAACTGTTAAACAATAGTTCAAATAAAATAATAGTTCGATCTATGTAATTGAACTCAAAGTCATTACATAGTATTTTGTAAACTATATTATTTCTCCTGATTGGATCTATCAGGTCCTTAAGTCAACAAAGTTTATTACGAGTTTGACCATGGATTGATATCAGTTTGACAACCATTGAAAACCAAGGAGTATAGGACAGTGACTTGCTACAAAACGGAGTTTCCTGGAATTCTAGTGAGTAGTCGTGACCAGTGAGATCCATCCAGTCAAGCGTGAGGATGGATGTCCCACCGATGATATTGGTTGGTGGTCGCGCTAAATCACGAATCAGTAGAACTTAGAATTCATGGGCTGGCCCATGATTCGGGCCCCAATGGCTGAATGGTATACGAGCTAACCTCGTAACCAGAAGGTCCTAGGTTCGGACCCTAGTTGGGTGTGTACTGCAGATGATTTCCGAACTAGGGTGAAACAGCTGTCCAGTACTCCCTGATTTCCAGTGGTTCTCCAACTAATATCATTCAATGAGAAAACTAGTAAAAAAACAAATCTAATCCTCACAAACCAACTCCTGAAACAAAGTTTATCTCTGAGCTTATACTTTCTGTCAACTGAGCACTTGCTACTTCATATCTTAAAATAATGCTGATTATTATATTGTTTATTTTATTTTCTTCATTTTCAGAATCTTGAATTACAAAGACAAGAAACAAATGAATCATTGAATCTTTCAACTGAACGTGTACGCAGTGCATCAGCATATATAGAGAAAGTATTAAAATCTCTATCAGATATTCAAGAGAAAAATAAACGTTCTAAAAAACGTTATCATAAAGCAATTCAAAGTTTAGGTAAACCCACACCAGAAATTCGTTTAGATGTTGATGTAAGTAGTACGCATTAATAAGATATTAAATATTAATTAATATAAATAAAGTAATTCTAAGTACCCTATGAGAAATATGAATTACTGTAAGTTGATTGTTTAGGATTCCGTTATCCGATACCGGGCGCTAAGCCACACTATCCAGTTGCCCAAACTGAAGTAGATGGAATGAGACTTGAAACCAAGACCCATTGGCTAGAATTCGAGTGCTTAAGCTAATGAGTTATATTTCCAAATGAATGAGTTACTGTAAACATGCCAACGACTTGCAATCGATAATTCTGTTCTTTTCTAATTCTAAAGTACGTCGAAGACTAATGAGCACAGAGTGATATGTACACTATGTAACAATTCGATTGCATTGCAGTTGGTCAGTAAGGAATAGTACACAACAACTAAGATAGGTAAAAAAGCTGTATAGAATTGTGACTGACTCATTTATCTATTCAAAATTCAGTCTTTTATACATTTCATCTCAATGTCAAATTTAGTCCAGACAACTAGTTTTTCTTTATTCCTATTCTTTCCCAGTGGAACATAGGGCTTCAAGCTAGAGGCTTGAAGTTTCGGTAGCAGCGGCATCTATTTTTACGGGATGGGGTTGCTTCCCTCTTTACCAGTCCTACTACTGGCTTAGTGAGGTAAAGGTGTGCGTCATCCGGGAATCGAACTCCGAACCACATGTGTGGTTGACGACCATTCTACCGCTGTGCCACTGACGCACTATTGGTCAACAAATATCAATTTTGAAATAATAGAGATTTGTAACTCAGGTGGATGATTTGTCTGTCTGTCTGTCTGTTTTCGACATAGAACTCTGCACAAATGTGCGGAAGTTCAAGTCGCCACACTCCGTGTAGCACGCGAAGCAAGAGAAGAAAGTACAAGAAAATCATAATAGAAACAGTGAGCAGAGGTGTGAGACAAAGGAGTAATAAAGAAATACAAAACAGTTTCATTGGAGATCATAAGTCACAAGGAGTGGATGCATCTGCGCCACTGAGAACGATGAGTTTGAGCCATGTCACCAATTGTTTCCAACCATAGATTTTTACCGTCCCGAGGACCCCAGCCTGGAAGTCTACACCTTCCTACGTGACTGGCTTAGACCAACTGTTGTGGATTTCATTGACTGGTGAAGCCAAGTTTTTGTTTGACCTCCGCTAGCTTTTTTCCAGCCTGACCAGTCCTATGCCAGCTAACATTGCTCATCGAGGGAGGCGATGGCTTGGCATAGGTAACACATGTCCTAACCATCTCAGTCTTTGTAACTTCACGACTTCGTCGATTGATTTCCCCCGTTTACCTAGCACTCGACGCCTAACTTCAATGTTGCTCACCTTGTTATGCCACTTTACACGGGAAATAGAACAATCGCCCTCACAATCCGAAACGCATGCGAAACCTCTCTATTACTCACTCATCTTTGTTTGGATGATTTGTAATTAATAGTGTTCTCAGAGCTGGTTGGTTTAGTTGTGGAGCTTTTGTCGTCTTTCTGGACATCTTCAGCACAGTATTTAGGATAAAGTAAAACGATTTAAATTTCTTAATGAGTGATATAATCATTTCACTTTATACTAAATACTGCGCTGAAGATGTCGTCCAGAAAGACGACGAAAGCTCCACAACTAAACCAACCAGCTCTGAGAACACTATTAATTCCAAATATCAATTTTAGTTTCTCTCTCCTAGACCTGATCACTATTCAATTACTGAGATCAGTATATAAGGTCCTGAGTCATCCAAGACGCAAAAGATTCTCCACCACTTTATACTAAGGTTTGAACATATAGGTCTATACAGCTTGAATGCATCTGATCTATGTTTTGAATATACTTCATTTGTATCGTCATCATCATAAAATGATATGAGTATTTTCATACCATTCCAACAAAGCCTAAACCGTTTTACTGAACTATCTATCATCTCTTTAAGAATAATTCACGCACACTAATAATAAAATTGAATAAATATAACCCAGTTGATATGATGTAGCTACCTACTCTCTCTCTCTCCACACTTATCTAGACTTCATTAGCCTAACAAGACACGCCCATATTTTCTACTATATACATCCAAGAGATAAATACGACAGAGTTAAAATAGACACACAATATAAGCATTAAAAAAATGTTATGCAAATGAGAAATAATGAAGCTAAAAAATTACTAACAGCAGTGATAAAAGAAATAGTTAGGGAAGAAAATAGCCAGTTTAAAACCTACTTATATATATATATATATATATATATATATTGAAGATCCATTCTGTTTTGCATTTTTAGAAGAGAAGTATAATTTTGAACCAAATCTAAAATCCTGAATAACTAAACTGCCGCACATATATAGAAACAGAATTTAGTACAAACTAAATATGCCTTCCACCGCATAAAAAACTAATCGCCTGAATTTATTTTCCGACTGAGTGGCTTTCATAATTATCTAGATACCCGACCTAATCTAAGCGTATCTTTTGTGGCTCACAGACTACGTATACACCACTGATTGTAACACACAGCCTACTGTAATTGTAAAACTATCACCAGGAAAACTAAAAGTCAATATCATAGTATTTAATGAGTAACAATATGCGTGAAATGTGCTTTCTTATTAACAAACGAAGTTATTTATAAGAAAATACCAGAATACTGAATATATCGTGCTAAAATATGAAATCTAACTTCTTGCAATTCACGACACAGCGCGACCACTTAGCAATGTCTTCGACAAGTAACTGTCCTCACCTACGACCTGCTGTACCCTAATGGTCACGCTACATCATGAAGTGGAAGAACTTAGAATTCATGGGTTATCCATTGGATCAGGCCCCAGTGGCCTAATGATCTACGAGCTCACCTTGTAACCTGGAAGTCCTGAGTTCGAACCCTGCTGATGAGTGTGTACTGCTGAAGAGTCCCAAACTAGGACGAAACAGCTCTCCAGTACTCCCTGCTGGTTTCCAATGGTTCTCTGACCGATACCAGCTCATGATGAAATCCTCCAACCAATCAAACAAAATCCTTTCAAACCAAAATTAAGGTATATCACTATTTTAATCGAACTCAACTGTTGAAGGATTAATATCAATGTACAAATGCAAAAGACCGTACGGCTAAATAAGAAATAGTCTTAAAAGAAAGTTTTCACCTTAACGTGTTACTCAAGCCCATATATATCTCACTGATCAAAAGATGAGTACTAGCTGGAAAGATTATTCATAAAAAACGTTACCATGCCGGGTAGGTCGGTTGAGTGGTGGTAGTGATAGGATCCCACATATTTTGGTATTGACTGTTTAATCTTGCATATATGGTATGTTATCATTCTCACACATTTTGGTAGTGACTGTTAATCTTGTATATATGGTATATTATCATTCTCACACATTTTGGTAGTGACTGTTAATCTTGCATATATGGTATATTATCATTCTCACACATTTTGGTAGTGACTGTCAATCTTGCACATATGGTATATTATCATCTCTCACACACTTTGTTATTGGCTATTAAGATCAATTATTTCAAATGCTGTTAGCTGTCCATATTGTTGTAAAATGTATAAATACCATGGCTTTCTTTGTCGTTGTTGCACTTCAATACACAGTCACAGTCCAGCCTTTGTCTTTTGATATTTGCGTGCTTTACTAAATCGGAAGGTACGACAAGCAGATAGGCAGATTAGTTCAGGCGCAGACAGAGCAAGGTGAAAACGTCTTCATTCAATTCCCTACAGTTATAACAAATTGGCGACGGGGTTTTACCTTAATTCATTGCAGTTATAGCAAGCAAACGACGACAGTTTTTATTCTGTTCAGCGCAGCTATATAACATTTTTGACTGTGTTAATTACAACCCAATTACAATGTCTATCTCTCTGGACGATCTCAAATCTATCTTGCAGCAGCAGCAAGTTCAGAATGAAGCAGCTCAACTAAAATTAATCGAAGCTCTCACTCAGAAGCTGTCCATTCAAGTTCCATCAACATCTCATTCTGACAAATATGAAAGCATCTCAAATTCCATCAGTGAGTTCAACTACGACCCAATATCTGGTCTCGTATTTGATGCATGGTTCAATCGTTACGAAGACGTCTTCCGTATTGAATGCTACATGTTTGATGATGCTGCCAAAGTCCGATTGTTACTAAGAAAACTTGGTACTGTTGAGCACAACAGATATGTTAACTTCATTCTGCCTAAGAACCCACGTGAGTTATCATTCGATGAGACAGTCACCGTTTTATCACAAATCTTTGGTGAACAGTCATCCATGTTTAATATTCGGTATCAATGTTTTCAGTTGACAAAAATGCCTTCCGATGATTATGTGACTTACGCTGGCAAAGTGAACAAGGAATGTGAAAGGTTCAAACCACACGAAATGACATCAGATCAGTTCAAGTGTTTGATTTTTATTTGTGGGTTGAAGAACCCAGAAGATACTGACATACGAACTCGACTTCTGTCACTTGTGGAACAAGACCCGAAAATGACTTTACAAATGGTGACAGCAGAATGCCTACGTTTAATCAACTTGAAGCACGATACTGCTATGGTGGAGTGCAAACGACAGTCGTCTGAATTTGGTTCGATTAACACAGTGAAAAGTCCTCCGATCACCGTTAAGCACACAGAACGTCAGTCTCAAAATTCAGCTAAACCTCCTTCAGTGTGCTGGCACTGTGGTTCGTGGCATTTTGTCAAGTTCTGTCCTTTCAAGAAACATAAATGCCGTAATTGTCACCGTTTTGGACATAAGGAGGGTTACTGTACACCGCAGAAAAATTCTTCGGTGAGGAACAGAAGTAGTCGTTTCAAGCCGAAACAATCTCCTCGAGTACAGACCGTTTTCACTACTTCCAAAGTCGAGTTCGCCAGCAAACGTAAGTACATAACACTAGATATTAACGGCAAACGTATTCGTCTTCAGTTGGATACGGCATCAGATATCACCGTAATTTCCCGAACTACGTGGCGCAAACTTGGTTGCCCACAGATTCTGCCGACCGAGCATGTCGCCAAGAATGTCTCTGGAGATATACTGAAACTCGTGGGTGAGATAAATTGCCAGGTTCAGTTTGGTGAGCATCACTTCAATGGTGTATGTTACGTTACAAACTACCATGATTTGAATTTGCTTGGTCTTGACTGGTTAGACAAGCTCCATATCTTTAATGTACCATTAAATTCAGTATGCTCTAATGTTTCGTCTTCACCACACAACGTTGTTCCCGGAGATGTATCTGATCAATCTCTCTTGCAACGCCGTCGTCAAAAGCACGCTTCTGTCTTCCAGGACAAACTTGGTTGCTGCAAACTGTTTGGCATCCAGCATATTCGTAGCCCCCCGTATCATCCCCAATCGAATGGACAGACTGAACGTTTCGTCGACACCTTTAAGCGTGCTTATGCAAAAGCGAAGGGGGAGGGAACAACAGAAGAAATTTTGGATAAATTCTTGCTGCATTATCGTACGAATGAAAAAGGACAGTTATGTGTCAGACACACAGATCACGCTCTATCCAGTACCACGCAAAGGTCAACTCGACAAAGAAGAGCTCCGAAACCTTTTCAAATAGATCCAAAAAGCAAGTCCTACACTCTTTACGGGGAGAGGTGATAGGATCCCACATATTTTGGTATTGACTGTTTAATCTTGCATATATGGTATGTTATCATTCTCACACATTTTGGTAGTGACTGTTAATCTTGTATATATGGTATATTATCATTCTCACACATTTTGGTAGTGACTGTTAATCTTGTATATATGGTATATTATCATTCTCACACATTTTGGTAGTGACTGTTAATCTTGCATATATGGTATATTATCATTCTCACACATTTTGGTAGTGACTGTTAATCTTGCATATATGGTATATTATCATATCCCACACATTTTGTTATTGGCTATTAAGATCAATTATTTCAAATGCTGTTAGCTGTCCATATTGTTGTAAAATGTATAAATACCATGGCTTTCTTTGTCGTTGTTGCACTTCAATACACAGTCACAGTCCAGCCTTTGTCTTTTGATATTTGCGTGCTTTACTAAATCGGAAGGTACGACAAGCAGATAGGCAGATTAGTTCAGGCGCAGACAGAGCAAGGTGAAAACGTCTTCATTCAATTCCCTACAGTTATAACAGGTAGCAACAACCAGCTACCTTCCTCTTCTAAGGAAGGAGGCCGGAATAGGTCATCTCCGAAAATTGCGCACCTTAACTTAAACTACTGTCATTATTTACACCAGATATAAATCTCTCTGTGTATACACTTCACTATTCCTATTACCTTGAACAGTTCATACGTGATTAACCTCAAATCGAATAATATTCAACATAAAATAAATGACCAAACCAATCAATGAAAATGATAATAAATTTTGTGAAGGAAGAACAGTAGATGTTTCGCGATTAATTGAAATTATCTCCCTGTCCAAATCATTAATACAATCCAGAATAAGCCACAAAATATTTTTTTTAATCTAAGTTGGGTTTTGATTGAATCCCAGTCTCAAATACCAATCTGATATCAAATTCTATAGTGGCTAAACGAGAAACTTTGATTGAGTTGACCCTATGATTTATAACAAGAATGTGTCTATAAATAGCAATACCACACAATCTTGCATCTCTCACGTTTAAGTATTTTCATGCATATTCAAAACTTTTTCCTCCATTCTCCCAAAGTACACACCACTGCAAACTGCGTCGGTGGCAGAGTGGTAGAGTTCTCTCCAACCCAGCAGGTGGTCCGGGGTTTGACCTGCTACTGATGCACTCCTAAACCTCGCTAAGCCAGTAATAAGACTCGTAAAGAGGGAAGATTGGGCATGAGGCTAGCAACCCCATTCCCTAAAAATAAACACCACTGCTACAGAAACTTCAGGCCTCTAGCTTGAAGCCCTATGTTCGACTGGAGACGTAAAGAAATAAAAAAATAGACACACTGAAAGGTAACGCAGGATTTTACATTTATTCTGATGTTCGCTAGTGACTTGCTACAGGACAAGGTTTCCTTGAGTCCCAGTGAGAAGTCGTGACCAGTGAGGTACATCCAGTCATGTGTGAGGATAGAGTTCCCACCGGTGACATTGGTTGGTGGTCGCGCTAAAATCACGAATTGGTAGAAGTTAGAATTCATAGGCTGACCATTGAATCAGGTCCCAATGGCTGAATGGTATACGAGCTTGCCTTGTAAACAGAAGGTCCTGGGTTCGGCCCCCATTGGTGGGTTCGTACTGCCAATAATTCCCGAACTAGGATGAAACAGCTGTCCAGTACTCCCTGATTTCTGATAGTTCTCTAACTGATGTCAATCCGTGGTTAAACTAGAGAAACTGGTTCAATCAATTTCCCATTATTCAATTTAAAATGATTGTTAATGAACACTGTGAAATATCTATTAACCTCCAATGTTATTTTCTTTTCCTATTCATCTCTGATCAACTATTTAGAGTGAAATTTAGTTATCCTTAACAAGACAATTTTATAAGAAATAATCCGTTCATTAAGGTTCATGATAAGCTCTAATGAATATAGAAATTCTCAGTAGGTTAATTAAGTGATTTACTATTTCATGCATAATAAAAGTAATATCGAAAATGCTCTGAAACATATATTTTTTTGATAGTGAGACTACTTGAGATAGTCTTGGGTTGGCAGACTGTTACCGATGTAAACTGTGGTGATTGAAAGTGGAATGAAAATCTGAATGGTGGCAGGATTTGAACCAGTGACCTCTGCACTACTAGTCTAGCAATCTACCAACTGAGCTATGAAACCCTACTGCTACTCAGGTCATAATTGTACTGCAATCGCCGGAATCACTACCCAGCTGTCATATGGATCAATGATACACTACTCTCCGTCTCTCACCATACTAGCTGCCCAACTAAGTCTTCTTCTGTCTGGTAGCTTAGCTGGTGGAGCCAAACTAGTAGTTCCGAGGCTACTGGTTCTAATTCCACTGTAACCCAGACATCCTATCACCTTCAATCAGTGCCTGCTAAATAAACCTTTTCATTGCATTATGCGATTCATAATACCTCGAGTGAGTCAGAAATATACCTAAAAATAATAGACCGGTGGGATATTCTGTTGCCTTCCTTCAATATCTATATGGAATCATACACTAAACTAAAACAGTAATTTCACGTAAAAGAAAATAATAATTCCTTCTGTCTATTAAGTGGAAAGTCAATCCCAACGGCATAACTGGGTGTGAAACTAAGCAGAACATTTCCGTATTACGGAACAATACACTGAAGTTGACAAGTTGACTAAAAATCAAAAACTTTCCTTGAAAGTATGAACAGCTAGTTCGTTTAAGTCCTATTGCGGTGAGAGCTGGCTGTTAGTCAAAATTGGTGGACAGTAATTTACGTCAATGTCTATGTCCCGAATATTGGTAGTGAGAAAAATAAGAACAAAGACTGATTCAACAAACAACCACAGCAGACTTTGCATAAGCGGATAAAGTTAACATGTAGATGATCTGACATTCAAGAAACAGCCACAATGAGATGAAAGATTAACTTTCAGTGAGAAACAACCAATCAGAAGACTGTGTTTGTTTGCTTGAATAATCTGTAATAATGTACATGAAAATATATAAATATGTGTTGATTTCTTTAATAAACGATCTGTTGCCTGGCCCTTGTCTTCTGTTGTTACACTATCATTCGGAAAGATCACTGTATGGAGAACTCAACATAGCCAATATAAGACCTGAACGTACACCTGTTGTGTTTATCTTGGGAGAATCATACAGTTCATAGGAAGTATGTAATAAAGCGTCTTAATATCCCACGCAGCTTTTTAACGAGTAAACTCTGTTCAGAAGACAGCATATTACTTTTTGCTACATTATACTCTGTTTCAACATTTCAGCGATCTTTTCTACTCTGTTGGCGCTGTCATCCATTTGTTCTCCTCTCTAGAAGGCAAATGTTACATTTCATTGAATAAGTTAAGCATTTTTTAGACATAATAATATTTCTCTGAAAAGGTAACTACCCTGGAAGCATCATAAAGCTTCTGTTATCTATAAATTTATGAATGAGTTGATGGGCCAATAGTAGAATGTTCTCAAGGTATGCAAATGGTCCGACTTCGATAGATACCCGACCGATACACTCCTAAAACTAGCCTAGTTTACTCTCCTACAGTGAGCCCGGAAGGGAGACAGAGAGAGAAGTTTGGATATGAGGCCAGTATATCCACCCTGTAAAAAAAACAATATCACTGCTACTGAAGACTTGTTTGACACTGATTTTATCATTGAACTGAATAATATTAGATATATTTAACATTATCATTTTACACTAAAAGAATTAGTGTTCACAAATTGTATATATAAAAAGATTCAGTTCATCCCAGAGGTCGTTGTTCTTATATTATAAAACTTTGTAATGGGAATTTATATATATATATATAATACTTCGTGATAATATCTACTTTTCTGCAGGTTCGCCTATGGCGTGATTATAATCGGGCTATATTATTACTATATGAACGTTGCTTGAGAAATTCATCTGAAATAAATGATGAAATATTGAATTTTGAAAGATCGATAACTGAATCATTGAATTTTCCACGTGAAAGTATTAAAGGCCATCGTTCTACTATATCACGAAATGAAGAAAATGGTAGTGAAACAGGTAATATTTAAATATAATTTTTAGATAATTAAAATGTTTTACAGTGCAGGAGAAACAACTAAAAATAATGGGTAAAGGAAAAAGTCCCTAAGAACCATAAAAGAGATTATGGTTTCGTCTTCAAAATTTATAAGCTGTGTCAACAAATGTTTGATAGTAATTGGTAACACACGAGTAAAGCCGTGACGGTTAAGCCCGAATGGCTCGGTGGTAAAGTCTGTAACTTCAGATTCAAATCTCAGAGGAGAAATGAGTTACTTCATGCTAGCAGACACTCTTGGCTATCAAGTATCAATAAGCACGAAATCTAGATCCATGGGTTCCCGGCGATCGCGTCCGATCATCTAAAATGTATACTGAGTCGATGGTTCAACGGCAAGACGCTCGCCAACTACGTACGTGGTTCAGGGTTCGAGCCCCAGCCAACCCACTCCTAAGCCTCGTCAAGTAGGTAGTAAGGCCGAAAAGATGGGAAGTCGGGTTATGTGAGGCTAGCAACACCCGTCTCCCAGTAAAAATAAAACCACTGCTACCGAAAATTCAAAGCTCTAACTTGAAGCCCTATATGTTCCACTGGGAGCGTAAAGGAATAAAATAAATAAACAATAAATAAAGTAAGTGAATTTAAAGTTTTTCTTTCATGTAAAGCCATTTATGCACGGCTTATTGTAACAAATCAGAACCTTGTATGGGATACTACTTGTTTTATTTGCAACACTAAAAAGCACCATTAATATCATCGATAACAATTGTGTAATCCAAATTAACAACAATAAGTGGTGAGCGATGCTCAGAAATGACCACCATTAAAAACTAGAAGCTCTTAGAAACAATAACATTTTCCAGAAGAGTATGAAATTCAGAATATTTCTAAAGTATATTTCAAAATTAGTAATTTGAAAAGATGGAATAAGAGGAGAAAAGAAAAACCGAATGAATACGGATTACACACGAGAAGTTATTGTAAGATTCAAAGAAAAAAGTTTAAGGCCATGGTAACAAACGGGGATTAGTTAAAAAATTTCGATATGAACCTCATAGAGTGTGCCAAAGTTTTACTCTATACCCTACTTAGGAAAAATCGACGGTACAAACCACCTGATGAAACTAAAAACATAATCCCACGCTATTTATTATTTTATGTAGATTATTTAAACATATAATGCACACTATACATCTGCGTATATCAGGACGAATGATTTAAGACTCAGCATAAATGGCATGGAGGATTTCATCATGAGCTGACATCAGTTACAGAACCAATGGAAAACCTGAGAGTACTGGACAGATGTTTCGGCCTAGTTTGGAACTCTTCACAGTATGCACCCGCCGGGGTTCGAACCCAGGACTTTCTGGTTAGAAGGCGATCTCGTAGACCATTGGGTGCGTACTGTGAAGAGTTCCAAACTAGGACGAAACAGCTGTCCAGTACTCCCAGGTTTTCCAGTGGTTCTCTAAATGATGTCAGCTCATGATGAAATCCTCCATGCATTCAAACAAAATCCCTACAAAACCAATACTTGAAAATTCAGCAGAAAGCTGAATTTCCCAGACAATGATGTATAGCCGCTGTCATTTTAATTTCCCTATTCTCCTCAGATAATTTAAGATATGAGCTTATACATTCAAACACTATTTTTCTTTAATAACTTTTATAGACCGAAGTCGAAAATCATCTCATTCTGAAAGTCTGTCATTACCAATAACTAATATTGGAGAGAGCTTTGATCTACACCAATCACCTGATACAAACAAATCATCAATACGACAGACATCATCTCGATCATTTCGTACTGATTCTAATTATGATACATTCAGTTCACATGGAAGTTCTGATATTTTACCAGAAAAAGACAAATAATAAGACCTATGTTACTGATAATAGTAGTATTGACAGTGAAATATTGATATACGAAATGAATAATACTTGTAGCAATAAAATTATTTTCACTTTTAAAGTGTGTAAAGAGTAAAAAGTAAGCAATAAAATACAAAGAAGAATAACCACTTTTAGATGACTTCTGTTGTTCGTTCGCTTTAATTAACATGCATACTGTAAATTTCATAATAATACAGAACCAATCGCAATTTCGGTCGATATGTATACTGGTGTCAGTCAGTCAGTCAGTTTACATCTGTTAGACTCTATTTCTGTGTTGCTATTGGGTGCCTCAAATTTAATTGAGGCAAGGTTGCCGTGTATCTGAGTATTTATTTTCTTTAAATAATTCGGACTTTCAAGGGTTGATTTGTTTTTCGAATTTGATCACGGATCGATATCAGTTAGAGGACCATTGAAAACCAGCACTAGAGTACTGGACAGTTGTTTCGTCTTAGTTTGGGAATCACTGACAGTCGCGCTAAAAACCGCGAATTGGTAGAACTTAGAATTCATAGGCTGACCATTGATTCGGGTCCCAGTGGCTGGATGGTATACGAGTTCACCTTGTAACTGGGAGATCTTGGGTTCAAACCCCAATGGGTGCTCACTGCTGGTGATTCCCAAACTAGGATGGCGCAGATGTATTCAGTCTCTGTAATCTTTCATATTCCTTTCTACCATTACCCATTCTGTTTTACTCTTATACTTGTCAGACTGTATTGATTCTCTTCACTCATCTTCTTGTCTACCTCTGTATGCTATTTGGAAGGTGGCAACTCGAACTGGTGCACTTCGGTACCAAGTTCTATGTTGAATCCAGACAGACAGATGAAACAGTTGTCCAGTAATCCCTGATTTTTGATAGTTCTCTAACTGATATCAATCTGTGGTCAAATTCGAAAGAAAATTCAGATTTTATTCTCGAAACTGCATAAATACTCATGTGAGTACTATCAAGACTTGCAATAAGTGACTGAAAAAATAATCCTTATAGTACAATCAGTCCTGAAAAGTGCACTTCAGTTGAAAGACAAACAGTAAAACAAGCACAGTCTCCTTATAAAACAAGTATCTTTCAAGTGTTCGTTTGTAAAGATTTGATTGGTTTCGAGTTTGATCCTGGATTGAAACTAGTTTGGGAATCGTGGTTGAATGGTGTACAAGCTTACCTTGTGACCGAAGAGTCCTGTGTGGAAAGATAGGTTTGCACTGATGAAAGGTCTCAAACAAGGACGAAATAGTTGTCGAGTAGTCTCTGGTTTCTAATAGTTCTCTAAATGGTATCAATCCGTGAACAAACTGGAAAACCATGACCATAATTTAAATATTCCCATTGTAATAATTATAGAACACGATTTAAGTAAATACGCATTTTCGTTAAATTCTCATCACGGTTTACAATTGCACAATAAAATATTAGTCATAGACATCTGAAACAACGTGTATCAATAGAATCGAATATAATCCGGTGGAATGTAGGTAGAATGTGTATACTAGTAGGAGCAGAGGGGAAAATATCTACTGTCACATAGCTATTAGATAATATAATAATAAATTATGAAACCGAGATTAAAATGTACAACATTTGTAGTTATTCTGTGTCATCGGAAGAGATAACTATTCTAGTTTGAGTTTAAAGACCACAAGAGGGATTGAACAAACCTTTTCAGAACACAGAGTGGTGGCACAGCGATTAGGACTCTCACCGACCATGCATATGGTCCGGAGTTCGGTCCCCTGCCGACACACACCTGATATCAATGGTCGGTCTGCAAAATTTGGGCTACCGATATCATATGCTGAAAATTCCATACTTGCACCAAGAGTACTGTATGGAATCAAGCCATAATCAAAATAAAAATTTAAATAAATAGTTGAAAAATCTTTGTGGCAACTGCTCCAGATTTGCTTAGTAATCGAAGGCGTAAAAATTCAGAGAATTCAGGTGGCGCATTGTATAGAATTGTAAAGGCGCAATTTTATCAATCTTTATTTTTTTTTTTTTATTTACAGCTTGATTCCATACTGTATTTTCGGTACAAGTATGAAATTTTCAGCATGGATATCGGTAGCCCAAATTTTGCAGGCCGACCATAGATATCAGGTGTGCGTCGGTGCGGGCTCGAACCCCGGACCATGTGCATGGTCGGCGAGAGTCCTTACCACTGTGCCACCGACGCACACAAGGCGTGCCAATATTTGAACTCCTGATTGACTTTACGACTCCTTTACCAAACCCCATTGGACAATCCTCAAGAGGGAGACAGTGGGCTTGTCGAATTGTTCTACCTATGCAACCGTCTCCACAAAAACAACTTAATTTATAAATGTACATTGAGGTGGCCAGACTCTGTAGCTCATCCTTATTCACACAACGAGTGGTGAATTTTAAACACAGTTTTGCAGCAAAGAATGTTTCAGCAGCAATTTCCTCTCCACTGTTTGCAACCATTTCTCTCTATGTGTATTCATCGCGCAGACTAGGAAATTTTTCTAGATATCCGTACCCACATAAGTTTTCTATTTTCCTTACTTCATCGTCAAGAATGTCCGGTGTGAAGATTTTTCTAGCTCGAAACATCAGGTTACTGATGAGATTTCGTTTGTATGCAAGAGGAACAAACGCCCCGAAATGGGCTTATTGACCAGCCCATGACTTCTTCCGGAAAATATCCCGTTTAATACTGCCTTCTTATTGGTAGAACATCAATAAATGATAAGGTATTGGCTTCCTCCGTTTTGTAATGTGAATTTGTGGATGAGCCATATTGAACGTTTTGAAGACCTCGATATCGTTTTGAATCTTATGGTCAAATAAAAGTGCCATCTATGTTTCTATAGTAGAATGAGAGTTCGTTGATTACATTTTTAAGTGGACGATTCTCTAATTTTGCTATAAACATATCAGCTAAGAAAGGACCCATAGGGGAACCCATTGCTATGCCCTCCATTTGACAGTAGATTTTGTTGTTAAACTGAAACCGCCCACTCACTGTACAACGGAGTAGCAGTTCCCGTGGTGTTTTAAGCGGTATATCTACTTCCATATCATTTTCTATTAGAGATTCACAGATGAAGTCGATAGTCTTTAATAAAGAGACGTTGGTGAACATAGAAGTGAAATCCATAGAGACTACTGTTTCATCGTTGATCTTCTTATCTCTGACTTTTCCTATTAACTCGAAAGTGTCCTTCAAGCTATACTAATGTAATTGTAAAGCCTGATGACAATTTACCAGAAATACTTATATACTCAAATCGTGTTCTACAATTTTTACGGGAATCTTCAATGAATTGATAGTAACAATACGAAATATTTCCAAACTAACACTTCTAGCAACGATTGGCAATAGACAGAAAGATAAATAAGTGACAACTTATACTACGAATGCCGTGATTATGTTTTCTAGTTAAAAAAAAAGCCTTTACTATCATGTTACTGTTTTTTTTATTATTTTACGTTCCCAGTGGAACATAGGGCGGCTTCAAGCTAGAGGCTTAAGGTTTCGGTAGCAGTAGCATTTATTTTTACGGGATGGGGTTGCTAGACTCATACCCAGTCATCTTCCCTCTTTACGAGTCTTATTACTGGCTTAGCGAGGTAAGGGAGTGCATCGGCCGGGAATCGAACCCCGGACCACCTGCTGGGTTGGCGAGTATTCTACCACTGTGCCACCGACGCACTATTATGTTACTAGTAACAACAAATTATTTAAAATCTAAACACTAAACAAGATATCATGCTAAATTTAAAGTGATCGTAGGAAGTGAATGACTAGTATAACATAGACCACGTCAAGAAAAGCAGTTCAATTCCACTTTCTGTGCAATAGACAAGTGTGAGAGCTTGAGGTGAGGTGTATTTCTGTACAAGAGTGGAGACTGTTATTTGTCTGGCAAAATTATGACATTGTAATTGCAATATATACAAACATGAATTAGTTAATAGCTGGAAGTGTGGATCATTGACTTCAGAACACAAGTTTCAACCAAATCGATCCCAAGTTTAAAGCCTACCACCACACCTACGTTCACCTCGGATGACTGCACAGTATTATATAAGATTTGTCAAAAATCAAGCATGATTCATTATCTAGTTCATAAAAATACGATTGGTCACTGAATTGTGTAGACTTATTCTAGGTGGAGTTAGTTGAAAAGCCATCAGAAAAGCAACAACCACACTACAACAGCTAAATAAAAAGATTTTGAATGAATTAGTCTGTCTTTCTTCAAGCATTCTTGAATCAAATCCTACTATGATAATTATAATTAAATTGTTGAGTTCATCTTTAGAAAACCCAAAACGTATAGATTGGATAACCATAGTTTTAAAAACAAACATTCACGGGAGTGGTAGAGTATAGGTAATACGCTCCATTGAAGCAGAATCCTGCAATGTCAAAAAACATTTAGAAAATTTTCCGGTGTACCTACCATTTTCTGCCATCGAAATCTCCAAAAAAAACATACAAATCTTAATAGTATATTGTTTTGACTGGACACTAACTAGTGTCATGTGTCTAATTCTTTTGTTTACTGCAGACTGAATTCTGTTAGTCAAGTTTGCAATCAAAAGTATGTAATACAGTCCCACAGGAGGTTAATCGCGAGCTCGGATAGCTTAGTAGTAACGTCTCTGAATGCAGGCGGCACTGGGTGACACCGGCTCAAATCTCAAAAGGGACATGAGGTTCTTTCAAGGTTGCAGATACGCCTTGCTGACTGACTGACTGACTGGTGAATGCTAACTGGCACGAAACCTAGGTCCCGACAAGGCTTCCTTTGGCCGATTGCCTCCAACCATCTTATATTGTTATCTTGGTTGTTGTCCGAACTCAGTTACCCGGAACAGGTCTTTCATGATGTACCAAGTTATGAGCCACACCTACTCTGTGAGAGCTGATGATACACTATTAGATCACCCAGGCTGAATGACGTAGGGGGGGGGGGCTCAAACGATGTTTAAACATGCAAAATGCAAGCCTACAATGTATTCAACTACAAACTATACATTTTACGTTTGTTCAACTTAATCTATCTATTTAGTCAGTCAGTCATCTTAGAATAAAAACAACAAAATTAAAATTGACAACAACAAGAATTTGTACATCTGTATTGAATAGTATTGATAATAACAATACGAAGAAGAAGAAGAAGAAGAATACAGAAAGCATACACACACATCAAAATGAAAATGCAATTGTTTTCACAATTCTACATCTATATCTGAGAGACTGAATTATCTCTCAAGAAACTTGGGAATCTTGATTTGATGAACTAGTAGTAAGTGGAGTGCTGGTGATGAAAATAATAATAATACTCATGATCACAGGATACTTTCAAAATATGGATGTTTTAATGCTTGATCTGCTGATATTCGATCGGCTGGATTACAAACGACAAGTTGCTGGAATTGAGAAAATAGAAAAAAATATGAAGTTAGCAGAGGTTTTGTCCCAAGATAATATGCACATGTCACTGAAAATGAGTTGCAAATTCAAGTTTATGATTTCCCTAAAAGGCTAAAATCTATTATTATTATTCCCTTGGGCTCCGAATGGGACATATGGCTTTAACAACACATCCCCACTTTCTTCTATTTTCTGCCGCCCTCTTCAGCTGGGTCCACGACTGACCATAATCTCTCATCTCCTCCTCGCACGATCTCCTCCATGTCACCATAAGACGACCCACTCGTCCCTCCCCAATCCGATTCCACTCGAGGGCCTGGCGCACGATATCAGTCAACGGTCTCTTCAATGTATTCCCGATTCATCTCCATTTTCTCCTACATATGTGTTGAGCGATCGGCTCTTGGTCGGTTTGTTCCCAGAGATTGTAAAATCTAAGTAATTGTAATATATGGTAATCTGCTGTCCTCAACGTTAGGAACAAGACCTCAATCTCTATCAAAAATATCAAGTTAGTGCTTCTATACGGTTGATAGGCTTGGCGTATCACCAAAAGCATTTCCAACAGGCCACTGCAGACTTTTATCGACAACTGTCTTCTCTGCATACTGAAGATCAATCAGATGGCCGGTCGGAATGAATTAACAACAGGCAACTGTCGTAACGAACAAACCAAGAACCTATTACCCAACAAATATGCACAAGGAAATGGAGATGGACTAGACATGCGCTGAGAAGACCATTAAGTGACATCGCCCATAAATGGAACCCGAATGGAAAACGACCAGTTGAGTGTGATCCGAGGGTTATATGAAGGAGATCGTGTGCGTAGGAAATGAAAGCTTATGGGCAGTCGTGAAGTCAGCTAAAAAGGACTGCAGAGAAGACAGTAAAACGGCGATTTCCTGCTGAAGCCCTCTATATTCCATTAGAAACCCAAGGGGGACAATAATAATAATAAATGATTTGACTGTTTAACCTAAAGAACATAAATGAATCTAGGGCATAGGTTTCTTCCTCTTGGAAAATAATTTAAGTATCTATATCATATCAGTTAAAGATGATAACAGATAACATCGAGGTAAAGTGAGGCGGTAAAAGCATCATTGAGGATACATCAGGAGTAACAACTTCAATCGGTATGCAGACACATGCACCTGACTGACCCCCAAACCTTATTTCCTACTGTCAATAGACACAGAATATATTAGCTGAAATGCAAGCGTATTTTGTTTTACTTTTCCAAATACTGCATGGGTGGGGGAGGAGTACACACATGTAACTAACCCATGTCAGATAATCAAGATACATAATACATAAAGTCTGTAATAACTTTACAAGAATAAAAGTATCAAATGAAGTCTACACTAAAATAACTCTCACCTGTAGCAAATCACGACCACGAAATGATAATTTAGGAACAACTTGATGCCAATTCATTGTCCGAGGATATATTACAGTAAATGGCTAGTAAAATAAACGCATGCATGCACACAGTACCGAAAAATATATGACAAACGAATGCAAGAGACAATTAACAATTACTAAAATACAACTTTTTAAATTAAACAAAAATTACAGTATATGTTGTTAACCTGAAGTCATATACTACTAATAATTCATTGGGCTTATTTTTTTCTGTTATTACTATCACTCCCTTGGGCTTCGAGTACAATATAGGACTTCGACAGCACACCACTTTATCCTGTTCTCTGGAGTCCTCTTCGGCCGGCTCTACGATTACCCGTAAGCTTCCATCTCCTCCTCATACGGTCACCTCCATATCACACTTGGCCGCCCAATTCATTGTCTTCCACTCAGGTTCCACTTGAGTGATGGCCTGGCGCACGATGTAACTCAACGATCTGCTCAGTGTGTATTTAATCGATCCATCCTCATTTTCTCCTACATATTTGTCGAGCAATAGATTCGTCATTAGTTCGTTCGCAAAGTTTCTTGTTGCCAATTTATTCCGACCGGCCATCTGATCTTCACTATGGAGATAAGACAGCTGTTGATAAAGATCTGCAGTGGGCTGTTGAAAATACTTTTGGTGACGTTCATGTCAAGTTTTTGAACCATATAGAAGGACTGAATCGATATTAGTAAAAAAAAAAACCTGAACATTGTTCTTTATGCTGATTGCAGCAAATTTCCCAAACTGATTTCAGAGTGTTAAACGTAGGTCTTGCCTTTCCAATTCTGGTTTTGACATCTTCATCCGTGTTGCCTGTAGTTATAACAATGCTGTCTAGATTAGTGAAGGAAGTATCTTCCTACGAATTTCTTCCCTCGATGATGATTTTTTTTCCTTCGAGTTCCCCAGTGGAACATAGGGCTTCAAGCTAGTGGCTTGAAGTTTCTGTAGCAGTGTTTATTTTTACAAGATGGGGTTGCTAGCCCCATGCCCAACCTTTCCTCTTTATCAGCATTATTTCTGGCTTAGCGAGGTAAAGGAGTGCGTTGGTGGCCGGGGATCGAACCCCGGATCATGTTCATGGTTGGCGAGCGTCCTAACCGCTATGCCACCATCGATTATGATTGGTGTTTGTTTTTGTTGGTTGGTTATCTTCTTCACCTCTGTCTTCTCTATGTTCCTTTGAAGTCCTATCTTTGCTGCTTCTTCTTCTGACAACTTGTTGGTTTTCGCCAGTAAGTCTTCGAAATTATATAACACCAAAATAGTTAGTTAATACAGTAAGTGTTGAAAATTAACCAGACTGTTGTTGTCTGAACTCATTAACTCATTCAGTGATCTCAGTATACAAGAGAGAAATTATTTGTTGATGCCTATTAATTTATCGTGTCTTTTAGCTTTATCAATCACCTCCCCTCCCCCACATCTGCTCCCCCGACAAGTTGCACCATTTGAGAAAACATCCGTGCTGTTGTAAACATACCAGGAAATTTGAACGGATAGCAGTTACAGTAAAAAAAAATGTCATTTTGGTGTAGTGTTCTATGAATAAAGTCACACTTATACTATATTGAAATTGTCTATGTCGATTGCAGTTTCATCTAAATAAGCACCTGTTCTTGAACAGTAATTTCAAATATAAGGATAGATACTGTCACACCAAGTAACCCCCGATAACAAGCCAGCAATAGATACATAAAGACCAATTAGGTACAAGTTATCAATGGAGAGACTAGGCAGAAGATTATTGTTCTTTCTAGAAGGCCTATATCGACTCTGATCATACATCAATTCGTGAGTTTGAATGCTTGCAATTGAAGGGATATAGAATAATAGTAGCTACAAAGCCCTTACATGTTCAGCTTTCTGATGAGAACATGGGGTCTATATTGAGGAAGGAGATAACTAAACTCATGTATGTGTGCGACAGCAATGACTATTCGGGAGACGCTGAGGACAAAATCTAATCTGCTGAGGGAAAATTTTTAAAGGTTGTTGGTATCCTGAGACCGAAATTGAGTAAATGTCGGTGTATTTTCACAGTTTCACTTGGAATTATTGATGCGGGCTAATTGATCTGGGCAAACTTTGAGGAGCGAACGTTATTTAAACACACACCGGCTGAACGTCTTCACAACGACTACAAGCAGTGGGAAGTGATAGCAGCGAAGGAAATGGAAAAGGCACCAGCAGTGGGCAGTTAATACCCATTAAGTGTTTGAGCTTGTCAAGGAGACGAGATGTAAAAAACATACGGTAAGTGATATGATTTCCAAAAGGGATGAAAATTCAACGGCCTCATAGAAAAGACAGCTCCAACCTTAAGCAGAATAATAATTTAAGGAGCCTATACCTGTACTCCGTCCATCCAAAGCATGAGTAGGACTTAGATGTCACACCCCCCCCCTCCGACTGTAACTAAGGTTGCAAAAGCTGTCTTCGATTTAAATTCAGCCAAAACTGTAGGATCCGATGATATGACCACAGAGGTGTTTAAGGATGACGGTGATGAATTATTGACTAGATTAACTTAGGCATTACCTAGTATATGAGAACTCAGAATAGTTCCGTCGAACTAATGTAGACCGTTGATTATCTCAGTTTAAAAGAAAAAAGACGAATCTCCCAGTGATAATCACAAGGGAGTCAGCTTCACAAATATAGTATCCAATATCTTGGGTTCCATAACCCAGGAATGACTAAGTAGGACTCGAGAGAAACCAACAGATGAAAACCAGGCATGCTTCATGTCCAGATGAGGGTGCACTGATTTGATCAAATCCTTATTTTTGAACAGGTTCTAGAATACACATATACCCACGTCTAACACCATCTATATAATTCTTAACCTGAAGGTGGCATTTGACTCTACCGATCAAGAGTTACTATGGCAATGTCAGGTCGTGAAGACAGTGTCTAGAAAGTATATTGCGCCAATCAAGGCACTCTGCATGACCGTTAAATAAGACGTTATTTAACTTCAAATAAATTGTTTACATCCACTCCTTCTTGCATGAGTGAATTACCTTTAGCTATTGAAGGAAATATATATGGACATTAAAATATGTCACAGAAATGTCATTATAATCAGTACTACTTACAGAACAACAATATACTGTAAAAAAAACGGAAGTAGGCTTCAAAGTCAATATTTTTCTTAAATATATATATATATATATATATATTTAATAAGGCGCAATAATATATCGATTTAACAATCTTCATGTCAAATGAAAACTGTATCTTTATTAGATACAACACATACAGTTATGCATTATTGATAATTGAATGATGTTTCGAGTACAACTTATTGATCATAATCGCATCAAGCTGATATTATACTCTCTGGATTATACTCTACTAGACTGTTCAAATTCTACGCTTACATTAATCAAATGAAAACACCTAAACTGTTCATGAGAACACTATGATACTTGACTGACTAACCAAAACAAGTTATATAACAGGAAATTAATTATAAACATTTCTTACTTCATAGTCTGGTAGTTCAACAACAGATGGCCATGTCGATTCAGTTGGAGTGCCTAACAGTCTGATATAAAAGTGTGAACAAGAAAATAAAAACCCATTTGAAAATTTACTTAACTTTCTCCTTAGACAACAGAAATAAAACAAAGAGGTGAAAAAGCAATGAAATAAATGAATACATCAAAATAAACATACGAGAATAAAAATAAGTAGGCTTGTAGAATTTGTTAAAAATTGAGATAAAAGATTCCTCACAGAAAACAACACCCGATCAAAAGAAGGTTTACTCAGCTTTAGCAATAATTCAAGCAAGTCGATGGTTCAATGGTAGAATACCACCACCACCTGATCGACGCACTCCTAAATCTCACCTAGTCGAGGGAAAGTCGGGCGTGCATCTAGCAACTTCACTCCTTAAAAAAAGAAACAAAACCTCCCCTACTGGAATTTCGAAGTCTACAGCTTGAAGCCTTTTGTCCTACTCGGAACAGTAAACTGAGATATGAGGCAAAAAGAATAATAATGTCAAAGAACGATATAGTTTTATTGGAAATTATAAGTCAAAAGGATCGGATGCATCTGCACCAGCCATTGACAACGATTTTGAGCCATATCACCTATTGTCTCCAGCCAGTGGTGTTTACCATCCCGAGGACCCCAACCAGGAAGTCTACATCTTTCTACGTGGCTTAAACTAACTGTTGTGGATTTCATTGACTGATGCAGCTATGTTTTGGTTTCACCACCACTGGCTCTTTTCCAACCTGACCCTATGTCAGTTAACATTGCCCATTGTCGAGGAAGGCGATGGCTATGCATACGTAACACATGTCCAAACATTTCAATCGATGTAACTTCACGGCCTCGTCTATCGATTTCCCCTCCCACCTACCTAGCACTCGACCGAAGCCCAACCTCAATATTCCTCACCCTATTTATACCACGACACTGGAGATAGAACGCAGGCACCCATGATCAAAGACAACTAGCCGGCCCTTTCATGTCTTCCATTCTCAAACGCTAGGTCTCACTCATAGCCATGAAGGAGGATGGAGAGGACTGCTCTGCAGTGCACACGCCGTTTGGCCGACAGCCAGCCGGATATCACGTCTACGCCAGAGACGGCGTAAACTGGCAAATGCGAAACTAGTCTTCTGTCTCCGTGCTGAGATTTCGTCGGCGATCAACCCGTTGGGGCTGATGCAACTTCCCAAATATGTGAAGCGGTCAACGTGCTCTATCACATCACTCCCTATTCCTAAGCTAGGAGTCAATGTAGTCCAGTCCTGTAGAATCATCTTACATTTGGCGGGAGCGAATCGCATCCCAAACATTCTCATATTCCAACTCAAGGTATTCAGAAGACTCTGCATTTTGTCAGCGTCTTCACCTAGGACTATACTCGGAACATAAAGAACGAAAAACAACAACAATAGCAATAATATAGCTGTTTATATTTCATCTTGATGGAATTAGTACATCAAAAAGAGACTTAATAATTTAACTTTCCGTCAAGACAAAAATATTCCCTTATTTCTACCTTTAGTAAATTACACGTAAATCTTTATTAGTTTGGAAGTCTATCATAATATATGGTAAGCATCACGGTTATAAATTACACTTAAAAGTTGATCAAGAAATTATAGCTATCTCCATATCACTACAGTTGATACATAACATCAGTTACAACTTTAACCTCCAATTACTTACTTGAAAATTCTCTGCAATTGATCTTCAACATCATAGCCAGGGAAAAGAGTTCTTCCAGCATTAGACATTTCAGCAAAAATACACCCAGCTGACCACATATCAATTGAAGTGGTATAGAGTTTAGCGCCAAGAAGAACATCCGGTGGTCGATACCAGAGTGTAACAACCTTTAAAAGACAAAGATTAATTAATAGTATTCAGAGTTTAGTTTTCACAGTGAAAACAGTCAGGGTTTTTTCACAAAATTGAGTTTGATCCCCTTATTATTTGAATTTTACCACCAGATTTATTCGAAAAATCTGGAAAGACTCAAAAGGACTAGTAATCAAGAAAAATCTTCTTGAGTTCTATATATTCACGATTATAAGTTAAACAAGGCATTATTAATGGATTGGCAACTGTTGATACATACCATAAACAAATGTTTTGTTAGAAAGAGACCAAATAATAGAAAATCTCCGGGTTTGACGATCATGTTTTGACGATCAATTTCTAATGTGTCATGGTAGTAGCATTTACCTAAAATCTCTAAACGGAGGTACACATGGTCAGTCAGGAATCGGTTCATCAGGGTAAAATTAGTGACTTAATGGAATGATATCTTTATTCTCGAGAAACATAATGCTACCTCAGCCAACATAGCAAATTCGATTCAAGTGGCTATAAATATGAACAATGAAAAATCCACCCTGTAAACAAACTCGTTATCTGCATTGAAAGAATAATGTGTTTTCATTCTCAATATAGGTAGACAATACGATTAAAATGCTTGACACTTTGCCGTTTTCGTCAATCTAACTTTTTGACGTATGACAGACTGTTTTGTTTTTTCTATAAACTCCAAAACTTGATACCAGGCCTAATGAGCTGGCAACTTTATTCTCTTATTTTATCTAAGCTAGAATTTTTTAACTGTGAAGCTGTCATTTGCTCGTTAGATAACATTTTAGGAGCTAACTTTAATATGAAGTGACCTTTCAGTATTCTCTATCAATGACAATGAAAGGACATGAAATATATTCATTCACATAAATGTATGTAGACAACTACGGACACTAATTCAAATTGAAGAGATGTAGAAACTTCCAATAGGAAACGATAAACTTGACAGAGAATCCCCTAGAAACCTTGTACTGTGATCAAATCACACCCATCTGACTTTACTAGTATAGATAAAATTTATCAACCTATAAAACACAAGTCGTTATGGTAAAAAAGTTAAGTGCCAAATCAACGAAACAATCGATATCAATGTAAGTGAATACAGTCAGTCTGATAAGGAAAAACAGTTATCTCATTCGTTGGGGAATTCCAAAACCACGCTTCACATTGAATTTAGAACTGAAGATGTAGTCTAGTAAGGAAGTTAGGACTTTTTAATTAAATCATTCAGCTCAGAGAATACAGTACGAAAAACACCCACCAGCGCTACCAATCCCCCCATCCCATTTTAAAAATTGATAATCGATCACTTTTTAAGCTACACTACTCAAAGTATCTATTAATATTAATGCTCTAATTAGTAAAATTGACAAGAATTCTTGATCGAAATGTGAGTATTCCTGGATGTTATGATTTTTGAACTACCCAAAAATTAATTAGGAACACTAAACAATATGGAAACTCTTTTTAAGTCGGTTTACAAAGTATATCTTTCCTGACAGCTAAGGATTACTCATTGCTTAAATTGGCCTATCTATTTAATCACTTAGGTACAAAACTGTCCAATACTCCCTAAGTTTCAATGGTTCTCAACCAGACTCCCAAATGTAATGAAATCTGCCTTTAAAGTTACAGACTTCGTCAGCTTCAAATTAACTAACACACTTTATTTTTGCGCTTTTTTTGTGGAGTTAGAATAAATAATTATTTAGTATATGTTTTAGAACCTTAAAGCATAAAGAGCCATTCTGTCAAGCAAGTTGGTTGAACTCTGAATTGTTTGCCAAGTACGCGATAAACTTGATTCGAATCGCTAAACATTAAACGATAAAAACTAGGCTCCTATCGTCAAACAAAAAGATGAGTGAGCTTTATTAAGAAACCAAAAAACATGTGTTTTGAAGAGAAAATCATAAAAAAAACAGAAGTATGAAAAAGCTAATTATACCGCAAGCCGTAAAAAAACAAACTGACCTCTGCTGAATACTGTCGTACAGGTATGCCATAAGCGCGAGCTAAACCAAAATCGGCCAACTTTAATTCTCCATTATCATTGATTAAAAGATTTTGCGGTTTCAAATCCCGATGTAAAACATTATGACTGTGACAGAACTGTAAACCACGCAATAGTTGGAACATAAAAAGCTGGAGGAAAAATAGAAAAAGAAAGATAATAATGCCTTGTCGTCATTTCGATTTTTCAATACTATATAAAACTAAGTACAAATGGAAATGTGTCATTCTGTGGCTCAGACTTCTTATCTCTTATTTTACATTCTTTCTGGCTAAATTAAGTTTTACACGTACACTATTTAAACTAAAAATAACTCTCACCCTGTTAACATACTTTTACACATTCGCAATCACATCAGTCTATGAGATTTTGCAGTGGATAGTCATTATAATCTAACTATTGTCATTACAAAATAATCAATCAATAAGGAATTATAACTTTGACTAGTAGTCAACTTGCGAACAACTGGAATCCCAATAATTAAACAAATACTACAAAATGTTGTTCAGAAACATTTCAATAGTTAAAATATGTGAATGCCTATTGCCAATTTTACATGGACTTCAGCATTTAGCTTATATTCTAAGAACAGACGATAACCTACTATGTTCATTGTCAGTTCATATTCACGTAACAAAAGACAATCTTACAACTACCGTAAGAATAAACACCAACCAGTTACACCAGAGGAAATTATGTGCAACAAATTTGAAAACGTAATTTTACCAACCAAAATAAACAACAGTCTTCGAAAGAATTACGTAAAAATATGAATTGAACTTCTTCACGATAGGTCACATATCAAGTCAAAGTCCAGTCAGTAACAGCCTAAGATAATCAGCATAAAATCTCAGGCAATACCTCAGTTAGCGGTCCATAATAAGAATTCACCAGCGCTTACATAGTCTCATCATTAACTACGCCTACATAAGAAATATAGTTCCAACTTTCATCCCGTTTCCTCCCGAAAATGACCTACTACAACTGATAGCAGGTAGACCCTAACATTCTCCTTGAAATATTGTCATGTAGCTACGAATAGATATCTCCTGACTTCTCATGGGGAGCACTCCAGTAGAACCGAAAGAGCGAATATGCAATGGTGGACACTGAGAGTTCATCTATGATACTTGCAAAATCCTGATCCCAAACTTACGTTGCAGTTGAACTCCAGAACCTAAAGAGAACGAACGGTGTGTGAACCTGCTCCGGCAACCTGTAACCATGGGAACGCATCCACTGATGAGTCAGATGTCAAACCAAAAACCAGAGGAGTACCCCCGTAAGACAACCTAATGTTTCAGTCTGGAAGACCATGCAATATCTCAGCCAAACAAGATACATAAGACAAAAATGCGATCGGAAACCCAACTCTATGCTCTTACATCCATAAGGTTAGCAGGTTATATTGGATAAAAAAATTAACTGACTATAGAAACGGCATTTTTATTGTCTGTTTATGCACCGACTGATTGAAGTGCAGATGCATTCCCAACCGAGCGCCTTCCACAGACACTTTTATGTTAGCGGGAAAATTGGATGCACATCTTGAGCATCTAGGCTCATTGAGGACTAAATGATAGCACGTGAGATAATGGAAATTGCCTTCAGCAGCTCTGTGCAGATCAAAACTTATTTCTAGCCAAAATAAACCGCCAGTGCATCCATCTTTGCTGTGCCACCTTGAGTTCTCCCTAAGCCACTCAAGCCCAGAATTAAATATATTAAGTCGCTATCAGCTACTAATAGTGTGGGTGCATACATGATAGCGTCTCCTGTAGCAAATGTTTGGATTCTCATAATACATTAGTGTTCCAAGTTTCTCTTGAGTTTTGCTGGTTATCATAAACAGTGATCTAAACAGGTTGCAGTTACTAATTTATCAAAACAGTAAATCAAGGTAGATTCATCCCTAGTTATCTACTTTCCAAAAGATATAGAGGGAGACTGGCTGCATTTAAAAGGTGCCACGAGTGTCACCTCGATTTACAGCTAGCTAGTTCTGGGGAAGGATTGGAAAAAAGTGGAAACAGTTGGACCGTAAAATTACCTGCTGGACTTTTTTTCTTCTACTTCCGAAAGTAATATTGAGTAACAGGTGTTCTTCTGAATCGATTTGACAAGTGCGCTTACCTGTTTTTGGTGTCAATAATTCACCAACCTGGTGTTTTAAATTCAGTAATGAAATTTCAATTTTCTGCTATACAAGTATACAAACATGTACCGTTTTTGTTTATACCATTGTCTTTATTCATTTATTTGCCACTGTTTGAAATTCCGGTCAGTCTGTACATTATCACAGTCATAGTTCACCGTCATAAATCAACTAACACTACACAGCCTTCCTTCAGGGAATAAATGAGTCCAACTATTTGAAAAACATGGAATATCTAAGTTTGAAATCTGTAATGTTAGTGTGTTAATTCAGGTACAGATGTGGGTGACTAACCAAAGCTGTAAATTTTTAACCATTTTGCCACAAGCTCAAATCCTTCTCTACTTACCCAATTTTGATCATGGTAACCTAACCCTTAGAAAATTGTATTTCCCGAATTCCTCATATCAACGCATTGCTGTATGACTCAGCTCAAAAAATATATGCCTTTCGTGTGCAAGTCAATGGACTTTGAGCCGTGAACACCTGACCTTGGTAATACTAACTCGGTATTGAAATCTAGGATAAAAGTTGTGGTGCTCAACTAGATACCAAATAAATAACGTATTTATTGATATGTTACTTCTTATAATTCAGTAATCTAACCATCACTGACCCACCTTCAAAAATTAACTATTCGACACATCTGAAAATCATATCAAAAGTTTGTTGCTATTTGCTTTTAAAATGTTAAATCTTACCATCTTTTTCAGGTAACATAAAACGAACCAAATAAAAAACCTATCTATGTGACATCAGTTTAGCTCTTTTTAGATATGGTCACGTTTCATGCGCTTAACCTTCGCCATATGTCTGAACATAGTCACACACATAAAAAAATGTTTAACAATTGCGTTTTATAATATTATAGCTGCTGTCTGGGCTAGTTTTTTAGATAGCGATTTCCATATGATATTCACTAATACCATGAAACATTTGTGAAGAAACTTTTGAAGTAGACTGAAGACGTAAAACTGCACTCCTCTTTTGCGTCAAAACAACGATAAGGAGAATTAACGTATTTGATTTCACTCTCTTCTTTAACTGTGCCCTAATGGAATTGTGGTCTACTATGTAAACGGTAATAGTGATGTGATGAGTGAGATTGCTCATATTTCCCCTCATCACGAAGAAACTTTGACTGATATATGGAACGTGCGTAAAAGTTCTCTGTTTAAGTGACCTGATTTCCAAAAGTATAGCATGTTTAACAACCCTGCACTGGATTGTTGTAGTGTAAAGACATTTTTATCCTATGGTAATACCATTTATGTAATTTTGAAGTGTATTGATGTTCCTTAGCATAGTGTTGAAATTTAATATCAGTATACAACATCAACACAAGTAAGAACCACCCAAATATTCAATAAAATGTGTTAAAATCATCATGTGTATATGTAAACTAGTAAATACTTGGAGAATCAAGTGTTTACAACTAATATTCTAGCCCACAGACTGAAGCAATTGCAATCTAGTCCACAATTTCCGTTTCTAAAGGTGTAAAATAAGTGAACTGAATTTCTTCAATACGACATGACTAAATTTCCTATCGCTCTTGAATGAACTCAATGGAAAATATTCCCGAATACAAAAAGTGGCGTCTTTCCAAAGATTGAATCCACTATAGGAAGCAACCCACTAATACAAACAACACTAAGTTACTGCTTTTTTGTTTTTCATTTTCAAGAAAGTGAACACCCAAACACATTTACCCCTCATTTTTCCATAAACCCTCCACAAAACATCTTGTCTCCCTAGACTTTACCGTTTGTTTTCCTACTGACTAGAGTGAGACTAAATGGTTTTAATTAAGGCCAAGAAGTAACGGAGTTTTTCTACTCCTGTGCATTATACATGATGCTATGACTGGAACAATAAAATGAGACTCATTAATTTATCCGTTTTACTTGTGTTAAAACAGCATAATGAGTACCCCATCAAAAGAATAAAATCAGCATGAACTCAGTTCATACCTTTACAGTGTTCTGATCTATTTCCCCATTACAGCTGTCAAAATACTTTTTCAAATCCTGATCACAATATTCAAAAACGATTGTTAGCCTTGAATCACTGAGCAAAACGTCAAATAGCCTAGATTTCCATTAGCTTAAAAATGAAATAGACAAATACCTGACAATATTTTTGTGCTTTAATTCCTTTAAAAGACATATTTCTCGAAACGCTGAACTAGGAATACCTTCATCATCATTTTCTAATCTAACACGTTTAAGTGCAACAACTTCATGTGTTTCTCGATTTCTCGCCTTGTAGACTTTTCCGTATGTTCCTATACAGTTTACAAAAGAAAGAAATAAATACCTTCTCCAATTTTTTCTAACTTTTCATATTTTAAGACAACTTGGTTTGTCATCAGTTGATAAATAACATAGGAATATTCTTGGCAGAATGTTTAAGTGCTCAGCTCATGACGCCACCCATATTACGTTTTAAATATGGAACTCTGAAAGAAGAAAATATAAAAAAATTAGAAGCAAACAAAATAACTCGAAGATTCTGCTAACAGATTCTGCCTAACATTAATAAAAAATACCTTGACTAATGTTTGTTTACTAAGCGATGCGCATTAAATAGTTCTACAGGGAATCTGTAGTGACAGAAATAACCATATGGTAGAATCACTGACTTCGGTATTAATTCATGAGGGACTAAATTTATTGGGGGACATGAGATTTCTCAAGGCTGTTTATAAGTGCTAAGAAGAAAAGCTGATTGACTTATCAAAGTGGAACTTAGAACAAAGGTCCAACGAAGCTTACATAAAAAGTAATGGGAAGAAGTACGATGGAATTACAATAGACGAAGATGCACACAAGAGAACAACTACCTGAAGATTACCTAGGATTTTCAGAAGTTGGATGATAGCAAGCGGTGCAAACATCTATACTACAATTAATAGCCTCGAATCATATCACCAACCGTCTCCAATAATTAACTCTTAAAACTCCGAGAGTCCAAACAGACATTCTATATGTGCATGACTAATCGACAAGCAAAGACTGCATGATATGCTGTCATATTTTGGTCTGAAAACCTGTAACTTTCCTCTTAACTTAATCCTACATCAGATAAAATTAACCACCAAGAAAGAGGCTCGACATGCATAACAAGTCCTAGCCACCTCAGTCAAAGGAGCTAGACAACTCAATAGATAAACTTCTCACTTAACACTAAGCCTGACCTCATTACTACTGACCATAATGCTCCAAGTAACACAAGACTGTGCGGAAACACCTCTGAAAAAATGCCAAACTTTTTAAACCTCCCACTTTCAACGGTCATTTCCTGGACATTAAATGGAACAGAAAATTGCTAAGCAGTTGATATATCCGTTGTTTGATATTTGTGTATCACTTAAAAGCCAAAAGCGAATTAAGTCGGAAAATGCCAAACGAACCTCATTTATCCATTCTAAAATTACGTCGTCAACCAGTCCATTAGGACCTAATGATTTGATTGATTGCTAAAATCAAACCCCTCACAACACAAAAGTGAAGTCTTATCACGACCAAAATGATTTTCTAACAATAGATTACGCCTCTGTATTCCATTCCATTTATGAAACCTGAAAGACAAGGTAGTACCACTTTTCAATATGATAAGCACGACCTACAGCCTCATATAGCTGACCCATAATTTTATAGATAATGCACGCCAAATTTCTGCAACTCCACTTGTTCTCATCATAAGTTGTGGTGCAAATTACAAACTCTATTTTTAAAATAAATCTGAAGAGATACCTAAAATCACTATAACAGAGAAAAGTAGGCATAAAATACGGGTAGAAATGTCGAAGGGTTGAAAATAACTGGGTTGATAAGACCCTTTTCCTCTGACTTGATGGTTGGACAAGTTTCTCTTCACCTTAACTTGCTCACTACTTTTTCTGTAAACCCAAGTCTGCCACCGTTCACGCCTACAGACTTCCCATTTCCTGAAACCAGGTCAACTAGGAAGCTAATAGGCAGTAATCTCAAACACACTGAAAGCACACAGAAGATACATAGACGGTTTGAATTCCCCCACAGCAGTAAAGATATACGATCGGATGTTTAAGCACAAGAGAGAACGAGATCCTGAAATTAGCCTGACCGCATGAAAATGACATACGAAGACGGAAACACTGGGACCTTATTCCGAGTGGGACAAAATAAAACTCAAACTATCAATTCATCATTATCTCTACACCTTAAGGTGTATGATAATTATCATACTGAAAACGAATAACTTCTATATTATTATTAATAAGTAGTACATGTTTTGATTGAGAACAATAAATAGTCATTTGAAGACTACAAAACGAGTTCTACTGAAATAAGTGGTTACAACACGTGAAAAAGAACGGCTTGACAAAATCCAAAAAATCAAGTGAAAACCTGGCACTTGAATCACGAGCCAACGTCTCTAGGTCGCGGACAGTAAACTATTCGACAATATTAAATATATATTATTCAGCTAAGTTGATGATAATAATATGTCAGTTACTCTCTTGGTGTTGTTCCTTACTGCCGTAAATATACAAGTAATTCTTCAGATGGATTCGCTAAATCTACTGATGGGATGGAAAGTGGCTTTTCATACATTGTGAACTTCTGCTTTCATGTAATTTATTAATAATATAATATATAATAACTAATTTAATTAGTTGGGGGACTGTCTTTTGTTTACTTTTTGTGACTTTGTGTGGCTTTTCATATCATTCTCCGTTGTGGTATCTGCATTCATCTGCGTAATTTAAACAACTTACGCCCACAAGAGTATTACCACAACTGTGGACGACCGGACTGTCATTTTAGGAGGGTGATGGGATGTGTTGTGATAACTGCAACCTATCGTTTCCTAAATTTTGCAATTGATTATTACCACTGGCCAAAAGGAGATGCAGCGGGCCATCGTCTCCTCAGGGTGTGCAAATTTTGCTGTAGCCAGTTGGTGCCCTCATCCAGGAGGCTAAAAAACTTTTTATGTCCGAGAAGTTGAAAAAAATTCACATCAGTTAGAAAAAGCCATCTGAAACTGATGCCAGGAATGACGATTCCGGTATGAGTCATAAAACTGAGACAGAACTACATCCTGAAGCTTTAGGCACAAAAGAGACACAGCTGGCCGAAAAATCTCAAAACGATACTCAGGAAGTTTCAAAGACCCGAAAAATTCAAGTGTTGTGGGCATTATGAGACTGCCCAGCGAAACTTACACGAGAGAGTGCAGTGTGTCTGGTGAACGAATGGCTTCTAGTTGCAGCGAGAATAAAGTGGAAGAAACTGACTCCAGTTAGTGCTGAAAAATTATTGGAAAGAGACCATTTCTTGGAATTTGGAGGAATCGGAAGACGTAGATCCAGCTGCTCAATACATTGACGGTCTCGAGGCAGTTAGTTCCATTATTCTTGAAATACTCCCCAAAATATGTCTGGGTACTTTAGCATACCATGTTGTAGAGGCCCTAGATCAGGCTCCCTCAGAAACGACTTCCCTAAGAATATCAGTTCGACAGGTCGGTTTTTTGAGGCCGTGTCTAGAGTTCCTACCAAGTGCGCTTCGGACGATAACGTACGTTGACGACTCTTTACTTTGAATCTCTCCAACCGGAATATGCCGAATACATATAGTATATCCACATGGAAGAGTCTAAGGTGGTTCATAGAGCGTTTTGCTGAGAAAGCTAATGATGCCGCTCGTCGACTAAGTTTACCGCTAACTTTTCCTACTGAAATTGTTATATTGGACTGTTATCGGTTTCTTCGCAACTTGACCACTATCTGTAGCCACCCAGTAGTCAATAGCTTCAGGCTGCTACTTTCTGCAAGAGTATGTTCATCCAAAACCAGTCAGCAGAGCTTTATTGATCCTGTATCGCCAGCATACACACAGACTTCCTAGACTTCCTTATATCTATTCGCTTTAGGATTGATGTCAGTGAACTTATTCCTAAGTTCCTATTGTTACGAAGACGCTCTGCATCGATAAATTCTATGTACTTTCCTCGACTTTAACTCCGAAACACCAGTATTGTAAGAAGGAAGTTATATCGTTTGGCAACTAAAGTGGAGAACAGTACAAGTCTGCTAAAAAAACATATTTCACACAAATTTATTACACACCTTTATTCGTTTTTGATCGTCTTCGTCGAAAGTGTACGCGATTGAACAATTGGCGCCTTCCAGTTACCCAAAAATCGCTACCAGTGCCAAAAACAAAGGTTCAATGTTCACCTCCATTGAAACACCCAGGCGAACCATGACCAACAGATTCATCATTATGAGCATCATACATATCATTACAATCAACAAGCGACTCAGCATTACTTACTTTCCTGTATGCTTCCAAGACGCTTCTTTGACCCAGACATCACTGAACTTGTTCAAACAGTCCAGAAAAGTTCCAGATAGCACTGCCCAAAGAGGACGGGCAGACACGAGGAAAGACGAACAGAAGCTGTCCAATATCTATCAGAAACTGTCAGCCAACTCTCATAAACGGTCAGTGTCCAGCTCTTACTACTCTGGACCTCACGCTGACTCCTGGAAGACTTTCAGAAACAATTTGTAATAACCAATGCGAAAAAACCAGAACGCAAATTGGGGACTCAAGAACCGTTTATTCTTGCACCATTACAAAGCCAACCATCAAGTTATTGTACACAAAGTCTGCGAATAAATGTTATAACAATAAATCTCAATAATACTTTTGTCAATGTAGTTGAAGAGTGAACAATAGTAAGGGATTAAAGTCACCTAAATTCGAGCCACAGTACTTTGATGGAATCCCAACCATCTATCCACAGTTTATCGAAGAGTTTGTGATCATGTTGAGTGGTTTTTTATTAAATAATGAAATGAAGTCGATGTATTTGATGAGGTAATGCACTGGAGTTGCTGCAAGAGCTAAACAGCGCTGTAAGTTCATGTCCCCTTACGAAGGATACTCTGAGGCTATGAGTATACTGCGTCAAAGATTCGGAAGACCCTCGATGATTGTAAGGAACGTATTAGAGGCTGTTAAAGGTAATGGTAGTCAATTACGAGATGACTCCAAGGCACTCTCTGAGTTTTTGGATAATCTAATGACTTACAAGAATACGTTGGTTTCGATGAATTGTATGAGCGATCTGAACTCAAGTTTCGTCCTAGGGGTAATAGCGAGACGCCTACCTACTCCACTGCAAAGGAAGTGGGTCAAGATAAGCTCTCGTACAGAGGATGAAGGTATTGAGCCAAAGTTCGATGATATTCTGAAAGTGGTAAAAGATAGTGTTAATCAATCTATGAGCAAGTTTGCCAGTATATTGCATCCCACCCCTACAATACAGAAGTCTGAGAGCAAAACGCAATCATATATGAGGAAACCATCTCAGAGAAGTGGATATCGAGAAAACTGTATGGTGTCTGGTAATCCCTATTAACTGAGTGAGTGTGACGGCTTTCGTGAGACGTTCTCAACAGATAGGTTACAAGTTGCGAGACAAACAAGGTTGTGTTTTACACGTTTGCAAGAAGTGTATACAAAGGCGAACTGTGAAGCAGTGAGCAAATTTGGTGGTAAGCTGAATGTGAAGTCAGCGTCATCAAGGTCTGACTACGAATTGTGTGACGATAATGGTGCAGTGAAGAATCCTGTAGTTGCCACCAGTAATCCATTGTTGAATAGAGTGTCACAGACGACACCCCAGTTTGTGCAGAAGAAGGGAGTTACAATTTCGTAGTCCAGTTCTGACTTCACAAGTTTCCAAGGTATTACTAGTCAGAGTAAAAGTATAAAACCTTTAAGGATTTATGAAGAAGAACCCAAATTGTCTGCCACTGTTATTAAAGAGCTTGAAAATGATGAAGTCGATCATGCGAACGGCGGTAAAGTGGATATTTATGACAATGGTCATGATAGAGCACATTTGTCTTCGGCTGATCATGATGAGATGAGGGGAATGCCCACTACTACTACTACTACTACTGAGTTGAATAAAAGTTCTGCACAACTTGAACGTGAAGTAGATTTAAGAGCAGATGCAGTGGTGGAAGGTATAGATACTCATGAGACCGTCAGTGTATATGATCAGCGTGTAGCCCACCTATCGAGAGATGTTAATGCTAAACTGGAGCTAATGGTAAAAGACAGCAGTGGTGGTAATCTTGAAGTTAAACAGCCTTCTAAAGGTTGAACAACAACAGATTCTGATGCACCGCTGAGTTCATCAACTTGTGTCACTCAGTCGTCGTTGGTGTTGTCATCCACAATGACAGAGACGACCATGAACTCACGTGTCTTATGCTGTGACTTTGGTAGTATCAGTCGTTTGAAGGGAAGAAAGTCAATGGTCAGTTTAATAATAATAATAATAATAATGTATATTCTCATATAAACATATAAATTTACATGAAAATGCATGCCATTTTTACAGGCACGATCAAGTATGATATAATATCAAATCGTAGATTGTCTACAAGTTAATAATGTTTCAACAGTTAAATATTTGATATGTATAAAAAAAAATTGTCTGAACTAGGCTGTATAGTTATTGAATTGTACAATTGTCCTCCAGGTTGAGCGGGAAAATCGACTTCGTTTCGTTTTCATCCCGTGGTTGTCGGCATACGATAACCAACCAATATTGAGGTAAGTACAACGTTTACAAGGGATTAAAAGCTGTTTTAGAAAAGTAAAAGTGCTGAGGTGAATCATTAAATTGCAATGAAATAGGTAAGTGCAAGTATCATTAATAAATGCATTAAAAAATGAAAACTCCCTAGGCTGACAACGTTCATTTGCAATGTATAATGCAACACATATACCTCGTACTATCATGATGTCCAATTTTGGTTTTAATACATTTATCCTCAGTTGTGCCAGTTGTTATTGTTTTATACCTTTTTGTGCATTTAATGTACAACCGTACCCTTCAGAGAGTAGGAATATAATAAGTCATAAAGAGCTGTAAAATGTTAGGTTTAATGGAATATAATGAGGATCAAGTAAAGACGTTATTGGAAAATGAATGAGATTAGACATTGTGAAGTGGTATTTAAAGATCAGTCAATGGACAGCAAGTTAGTTTATAAGATGCCCCATAAAACTGTGCACATCCCACATGGTCGCATCTCAACGATAGGCTGGGCGAATAGTATATATTTAGAGGTAGAAGCATGATCTGTCAAGGCGTTCATTATTATCTTTTTCAAGATAAAGATCTAAGCCCTCATAAAAATCAGAAATATCTCGAGCCTTTAATTTGTGTATTGCTGTTCCTGCAGAATGGGGCGATTCACCTTAGTGACCCCCACCATATCTACTGATCAGCTAACGCCACCCTCCCTCCTTAGCCAACTGTGCACGAGAGGGTAATTGTTAAAATGGTTTGCACGGATAAAGGCCTCTGAATTTCTGAGTTACTATTTGAATGCCATTATATATGGTGTAAATTACTCTGTGCCTAC